AATATATACACTTTATCTCCGTTCAGTTGTAGACATTTAAAATAATAATGCGGACAAATGGAATCATTCCGAGTCGGAACCGCTGTATGACAGGTTTGACCGTCTCGACCAACTGCTCTTTTCCTAGTTTCTTCGGCAGCATAAACTTATTCACTTACTATCAAACACAGGACTTGAGAAAAATTATTGAATCCGTGTGAAGTTGCTTACTGAAATGGTCTAGTGAGCGTTGCAATTTAGGTGACTTTCAAATTCTATTATTGAGTAATATATCTTCACTTAATTTCGAAATTATCATTATCATCCTTCAAAACCTATATCTCGTGTATTTTGATATTTAATTTGTCGCATGCTCCCTTAAATATAATCAGTAACATGTTCATTATTAGAGTTGCTACCGGTTTTGATACTATAAAAACTAAGAAAACTGGTAGAGGTATGAAGTTCGCGGTTAGTAGTGGGTTGAAAATCTTGGTTTTAGGAAGAATAGTGAAAATCTGAAAACGCCACCCAGTAGTGAGACTTCTAATAATGTGCGAAAATCTGATCGCTAGACCCAAAAACCTCTGCTGGGTCTTCGACAAAGAAACCAGGACGACAGTCACTCTCAGACCTCTACTGCAAGTAAGACGCGTAGGAAAAATAAAAATAGTAGAAAAATGCATTCTAAGACAGTCAACACAGCCAATTGTGTCTGCTCGCTGTCAGGCAAAACTGGTGACTCTGCATTTGAATGTAACTTCTGCAGTGCATGTGCTTTTTGTCACTGAGACACTACAGTGCCTGGAAAGTACCATGGGTCCATGCTCAGTCATGCCTGCTACGACTGCATAATCACTGAGACAAAACCTGACAATAGTGAAGACCCAGGCCACAACTACAGTTATTCTACCTATATCATCAACCTCACCCAGAGGGAAACCCTCTTCAATGAGTGTAACGTTGAACTGAGCACAAATTGACGAAGAAATCCTCCTGACATTTCAGATACCATCGGTTAAGCCGTCCCCCCAATCATAAGCACAAAGGACCGCTGCCAGTACGAGCAGCTGCAAAGAAACCAAAAGGCGTCCAAGAGCGAACCAGTGTGGGGGTTCACGGAGTGCGTGAGCTGGTTAGTGGTAAATTGGACGAAGTTCATGTGCTTGGCGTGCGATGATCGCGATGGCTATCAAGTAGAGTGGGCCTTGACACCGCCGTGGAGTTAAGCACTTCCCGGCTGCCACACCTTGCGAATATCAAGACTCCGCGTCTGATGGGTGTGGTTTTCGGAAATCAGGAGGACCTAATTAAGGCGCCTTACGCTCAGTACAGCATCAAGAATGACCTCTCTGGTCATATTAGGTGTTGCGAAAACCGACCTAGTTCTATGAGACTACAGCAGGAAGGCTAAAGTAAGCGCACATTAATGTCACTCTACGTGGATTAATAACCCAGAAACAAGACACAAGGATAATCGTCTCGTGGATTGAATATTTTAATCAGGTGGAAGTTCTGATGCTGCTAGTTACCACAGAACTGGCCAACTCGGTTTGAACAACTTGTCTGCAAATGTGACAGTCGCTGTTGCTGCACAGTTGCACCAAGTGTTGAGACAAACAATCAAGTGCCGCTGTAGCGACGTAAGAGGACCAAGAGGATCAAGCTGTTCTGGAGTCAGTAATATGTTCTGTCAGATGGATCTGGAGACCATAACCCCAAACGAAACACGGCTATCCCTCAATACTGCAGAAGACGAAGTGAGGTTGCAAGGCATAACACCACATAGGAGGTGCAGTGGTCATATATATATATATATATATATATATATATATATATATTAACAGCCATTTTAAAGCTGAAAGACGACATTACTTACTTACTTACGCCTGTTACCCCAAATGGAGCATAGGCCGCCCACCAGTTTTCTCCAACCAACTCTGTCCTGGGCTTTTCTCTCCAGTTCTGTCCAATGTTTGTTCATTCCTCTCATATCTTACTCTATTTCTCGGCGTAATATATTCTTTGGCCTTCCTCTTTCCCTTTTGCCTTGAGGGTTCCAGGTGAGGGCTTGTCTCCTGACGCAGTTAGGTGCTTTTCGTAGTGTGTGTCCTGTCCACTTCAACCGCTTCTTCCTGATTTCCTCCTCCACTGGAATCTGGTTTGTTTTCTCCCACAGTTCGTTGTTGCTGATGGTGTCTGGCCAACGAATACGAAGTATTTTGCGTAGACAGCTGTTAATAAACACTTGTATCTTTTGGATGATGGCTTTGGTAGTTCTCCAAGTTTCCGCTCCATACAGTAGAACTGTCTTGACATTTGTATTGAAAATGCTGATTTTGGTTTTGGTTGAAAGTTGTTTGGATTTCCATATATTTTTCAACTGTAGAAATTCAGCCCTTGCTTTGCCAATTCGTTCCCTCACATCTGCATCGGATCCACCTTGAGTGTCGATAATGCTGCCCAGATATGCAAAGGTGTTAACGTCCTCCAAGGCATCTCCATCAAGAGTGATTTGTTTGGTGCATGTTGTGTTGCATCGGAGAATTTTGCTCTTTCTTTTATGTATGTTGAGACCTACTGCTGCAGAGGCTGCTGCTACACTGGTCGTCTTCTGAAAGACGACATGGCAGTATCTCGTTCATGTAGTTATGTCACAAATGGCACAAAATACTTGATTGGAGAGATTTGTTGGCCCCACTTAAGTACTAAGGCCCAGAAAGATAAACTGACTGAGGTGATACTGCAGCTGCCAATACTTGAGTTTAGTCAAATACTGTCAGCTGAAGATTTTAGCACTCTATGTCTAAATCTTGGCAAACAGAGTACAACTCCCCCAAGTCGGTTCCACAAGTGAATCGGCACAGGCACAGGAATTACTGGACTGACTGAGAATGTCTGCAGCGCCACTGGATGCACAGAAGATGTAAAATCCTCGAACATAGGTAATTATTTGACAAATTATCAACTCCTGGCCTAGAATATAGACGCCCATGCATCAAAAAGAACCAGTGACCATAGCACAGTCATGTTTAACATGGTTATAAAAGAAACACTTAGGCGGTAAGAAAACCAGCCCTGCCTTTATTCATACGATTAACTGCCCACTAGTTATCTTACTAGTGACTTGCCTTCATCAAACTACATAAGTGCAGGTGTACAGATAGTGTTCTAACTGAAAAAAGTATCTGCTGGGTCATTGTTTGACTTTAAGCAAGAATGTTTTCTGTTCTTCTCCTAGCCCCTTTCTTTTTATTTCTCTTTTTCAGTCCTTAAATATTAGTCTGGATATTTGCCGAAGACTTGGTTACTTTACTAATGAGCTTGTAAATTTACTAGCTGACGAATGTCTACAAGATCTTAGCACATTTACGATATTGATACTTATTAAATGCAGACCTGGCTCTACGTTGCTTTGTTTCGCAGTCATTAGCAGTTACTTGTAACGTAACCGTCGCATTATACATTGCTGAGTCTGGAAAATTGTAGATAATTTTATGTGGAAAATTTTAGCCATATATTTGAAGATAATTTGTCTTTTGAAATATTTAGGTAACTGAACAACCTTTTACATAAAATACGTTAGCAATATTAGCATTTTGATCTTGCCTGTAAATTGGCATGCCTCATGTAACATGTGACTTGAGAATAAATTATGACTGTTATGATTATTTTGGCAAATTACTGGCGTATGACGGAGCATCTGTTATATGCTCCATGGTCACGGAAATGGTGGAGGCTTAGAGTAGATAATCACTGGCAAACAGTGAGAGACATTACTCAGAATGCCGTCCTAAACACTGTAACTCAGGCACACCTCACACCATAAAAAGGAAGAACTTAGATTAGACAAGGAACTGAACGCCTGCTACAGACGAAGAGGAGAGCTTGGTACAAGTGAAAGGTCCTTCTGAAGAATTCCAACCGAATTTTCACCTTGGCATTGAGAAACAGATGCTAAGTCAAAGTTCAAAGTGATAGAAGACGCTTTCAGATGAACCTAGCTGCCAAAATACAGGCAAACCCAAAGCGTCTGTTTAGGTTCATGACAAAAAAAACCTAAAAGCCACAGTGTCCATAGTCCAAAAGGTCCAGCTGGCGAAGACCTTACCAGCCTGGAGATGGATAAGATTCTCAACATCGAATTCCCTGATCACTTAAACATGTGACCATAAGCTCAGAGTATCAGTCATACCTAGAGCCAACTTACGGCCTAGGAAATATCCGACTTACTCCAGGCTAAGCGCCAACAAAACTAGAGTCTATGCACTCAGTATAGTTAATAGGATGTGACAATATTCGCCCCATAGTCTTGAAACAGTGTGCAAATGCGTTTTGTTCACCGGTTCGTGATCTATTCAGGCATCCATTGGAGTCATATCAATTCTCAGCTAAATAGAAACAAGTTACACTGTCATATCTTCAAAGGAGGAGGCAGGAGAAAGATCCAGCCTGTTACAGACCAGTCTCATTACTATCAATATCATCGATGGTAGTGGAAGGAATGATGTATTAGCGAGTGAGTGAACACATGAATATTAACAATATCATCTATGAAGCTCAACATGGGTTTAGGAAAGGCAGGTCATGTGCATCCAATCTTTTCATAGCATGGGACATACGTACAACCTGCTGGGCCTGAAAAATAAACGATCATATAGTATCTCTTGACTTCGCTGAAGATTTCGTCATATTACCTTATGTAATCGTAAATGCAGAGGTCTGGTAATGTGACGGCTGCTAGTATACAGAAACCCTACTGCCCTGAAACAAATGTTTCATTCAAATCCCGAGACATACAAACTCACAACCAAATGCCAACTGACTAGAATTAGACAGTCGAGTGGCTTGACTTCCATCCATTGGAAATTACCGAACACCTGGAACCGTACCGGAAGAACAAGAATCGAGCACGAATAAATCAAATTGGTTTACACTAGCTCGTGAAAAAGATATTGGATATTGAATATTGAAGTTTCATGGTAACGTGTTGTGTTGATTTTTCAAAATCTTTGGAGGTAAATGAATCTTAGGCATTTGAAAACCTTCATACCTGCTCAAGAAAATGAAGCCAAGATTCAGGGAATAGCTTGGTCTCCAAACAACAAGAAATTGTCTGTATGCACTAGTGACCAGTTAGTAATCCTTTTCGATGAGAATGGCGAGCGTCGCACACGCTTTTCTGCAAAAAATTCGGACTCAAAAAATAATGGGAGTACTTTTCAAATCAGAGGCATGGCGTTTTCTCATGATTCCGTGAAACTTGCTATCGCGCAGTCAGACGTTATATTCGTGTACAGAATTGGAGAGTCTTGGCCATCCCGGGATGAAAAGGTAGTAATTTGCAATAAATTCTCACAAAAGTGTCTTGTTACATGTATTGTATGGCCAGCTGACCAGCCGATTATTTGTGGCCTTGCCAATGGCAAGGTAAGGGCTGCAGACACTCGTGCGAATAAGTCTTCTACCATATATAATGCTGACTCCTATGTTGTTTCAATTTCAGCGAATATTACTGGAAAAGGGTTTGTTTCTGGACATGCGGATGGGAAAATAATCCGATACCTTTTTGATGGTGATGACGATGGTTCAGGTGACACTCAGGGGAAACTCGCAACTCATCCAACGGCCCCGTATGCATTAGCATGGGCTGGTTCTACAATCTTAGCTGCAGGTAGTGATAGACGTATTCATGTCTATAATAGACGGGGAAAGCTTATACAGCAGTTTGATTATAGTAAAGACGATAGTGAAAAAGAATTCACTGTTGCATCATGCAACCCCGGTGGAAACGTTGTTGCATTTGGGGGCTTTAATCGCATCCGAGTACTTTCATGGAGTCCTCGTAAAGGTGGGTGGGACGAGTGTAAATTAAAAGAAATAAAAAATTTATACACTATAACGGCTATTGCCTGGAAGCAGGATGGTTCGGAATTAGTTATTGGGACCTATTGTGGCGCGGTTGACCTATTTGACTGCTGTGTGAAGAAAAAATTATACAGGAAAATTTTTGAGTTCAATTATGTTGGGCCAAGTCAAGTTATCGTTAGAAACCTGAAAACTGGAGACACAACTGTTGTGCAGTCAAAATTTGGCTACGAGATTGACGATGTAAAAGTGATGGGTCAAGATCGATACTTGGTCACACATACATCAAATACTCTAATACTCGGTGATCTGCTTGAGAATCATTTGAGTGAAGTTCAGTGGAACAGCAAGAACTTTAATGAGCGCTTCTATTTTGGCTATAATAAATTCTGCATAATATTTGGTTCTGGTGAATTGTATGTGGTTGAATACGGGGTAAATGAAATATTGGGCTCAATCAAAACTGAATTTACTACTCCACTTTTAATAAGTGTTAGAGTAAACGAACGAAAATCTAGCAATAACCGCATATGTAAAAAGATCGCCTATATGTTAGATGTGAAGACAGTAGCCATTTTTGATTTTATGACAGGGTCAAATGTTACACATGTTTCTCACGATAGAAAAATTGATTGGATCGAATTAAACGAAACTGGACAAAAGCTGCTTTTTCTGGACAAAAAGCTTCAACTTGTTCTATTTGATATAGAAACAGGTGTAAAGTTCACGCTACTTAACTTCTGTTATTATGTACAGTGGGTTCCTCAGAGTGATGTCATAGTTGCCCAATCTAGAGATAGCCTTTGCGTTTGGTACAACCCTGAGTCACCTGATCGAATGACATCAGTCCCATTGAGAGGTGGAGATATCACAGAAGTCGTACGTCAGAATGGAAGGACGGAGGTTTTGATAAGTGATGGTATGACTTCTGGTTCCTATGCTTTGGATGATAGTCTTATTGAATTTGGTACTGCTATGGAGGATGGGGACCTTGAAAGAGCAGTTTCATTTTTGGAAAGCTTGGAAGTTACACCCGAAACAAAATCTATGTGGAACAAACTTGGCTTTGCAGCCCTAAAGGCAGGGAATTTATTAATCGCAGAGCAGTGCTTTGCTTCTGTAGGTTGCATGAGCAAGGCACGATATTTGCGGCAAACTCGAAGTCTACTAATGGACAATAAATTGACTAAGCCAAATACTCAGGCACGCATTGCTGTCCTTGAGAAGGATTTTCGACTAGCTGAAGATATATTTCTGTCACAAAATTCCGTAGAGGATGTTACGAAACTATACAAGGATCTGCTTAAGTGGGATGACGCTATTGAGGTCAGTTAAACATTTAACGATTTCTAAGTCAATAATATTGAATAGAATGTATTATTGCTCACTCAGTATATGTAACAGATCCTGTGACCACTTGTCACTAAGTTGCGTTCGCATATTTTGAAGGGATGAGAATTAAAGTCATTATGTTAGGTTAGTAGTGTCAAAATGAAAACCAACGTTTTGTACAAACGTTGGTCATCCAAATAATACTTGCTTTTTGTATTTATAAGTAGATTCCTTTTAGCCATTTCTCTTATGTTCGAGTATTATCGTTTTACAAAAAACAAATTCAATTCTAACAATGGAAGTATAAATAGAACGTTCTCAATGTTTATTTGTCTTCTTATTAATTCACATATTCTTAAATTATCATGAAAATATCCCTCATCCAAAACACCTAAAATTACTTATTTTTCTCAAAGTCTAAAATCTATTTGGTTTGCCATTATCACAGGGATATTGAGATAGTTAGTGTATTGTAAAGATTAGAAATTGAATTTTTTTTGATAGATTTCAAAAGCTTCATTCAAATAATAGGAAATATATGAAATATTAACACTTCTACTGTCAGACATATCTCATATCAGTTAACAAGTTACTGAGATAAAATTCAAGGATTTCAACACACATATATTCTGGGTACGTCTTTCATTCAAATAAATGGCTGTTCATGTAAGAATTTTAGTCAACTAGTTCACTAGCCTCACGTCGCAAGGCGGAAAGCTGATTAGCTTTTCAAGGTGAAAAAAAGAGAGCTATGATAAGGAAAACGTTATATTTGCCAGAAAAAAAACAGCGCAAAGTAAATATAAGGAGATTGATCCAACTACGCCAATGAAAACATGAGGATATACTCTTTCACGCTCACACCACGACAAATGTTGCATCGAGCCCTGCGTACTAGTTAAGGCACAGTTTATGGTCATCTTTCTGAACTGCCTCCGCTAGACGTAGTGGTTATAACTCTACCACACTTAACTTTACGGTAAAGTTTGAATTGTACCTACACTCAGTGCTCGGGGTAGTGGGGACTAACCTGCATACAAACTAGCGCGGGCCGCCAGGTGTAGACCGGTTCAATCTCTCACTCTGTTTAAACTCTGGATTACAGGAAAGGAGGCCTATGAATCTACAATTTATTATTTACACTTTGTGACTGAAATTCTAGTTATCTTGCAGGTTACTCCATTGAAATATTACCTGAATTTTGCTACTTCGATTAGAAAGTAAATTGGTTGAAATTAAAGTTAACCAAGTCAATTTGTTATTGGTTGTTAAGTAACATAAGTTTTTTTATTACTCTTAAATGGTGTTAATAAAGTTATAGAATAAACAAGAATAATAAATTCGATTAAGTATCTTCAACTTTGCATTGGTTACATTGAGTCTTCTGACAAAATATCCAACCAGTCAAATACAATATAGAATCTGGTACATATGTATGTCTATTCAAGTCTCCATATCTCAATAACACAACGAGGTGAAATTTTTAGAGCATTCGAGATTGAGAACTGAAGATGCGAATATAAGAGACGATGGACCCCAGCCAGGCAGTCTAGATCAATTAAGATGTCTAAGTTATACTGCTAATGGCCCCGTAGACCTATACCACATGCTTTGATTTGACTTGGCTTTGTTCCAACTTACTCTATACCAGGTAATTTCACCCACTGAAGTCGGCTTCGGGTGATGGTATACGTAACATATGTCCGAACCAACCCAGGTAATGAAGATTTACTACCTCATCAGAAGAATACTGATTTCTTAAGTTGATCTCGTTTCTAAGTCGCACAAGAACAAAGGGAATTTTTGATCATTGTCCTAATGCCTGTATGATAAACGATGAAAAAAATATTAAACGACCCTTGTTAATATAATACAGTGTGTATGCTTGATTCACAAAACAACTACATCTTAACTACCATATGTGCTGTTAATGACTGAATGCTGTATTTCTTAATTGTGCGTGTGTTCAGTGAAAAGTGTTACACTAGAATAACCACTTATCTAGCTTTTTAAAATTTCCTATATTTCGGCAAAAAATGAAACCGATCATTAAGTTGGCTAAATTTCTGAAAAATACTAAAACAATTTGTCGATTTCGGACCTTTTTATGGAATTTTGAATTCGTTTGCTCTTTTGTCTTTCATATTAGATTGCTGAAGCTAAACATTGGTCTGGTGCGGACGAACTTAAGAAAGATTATTATCAATGGTTAACAGAAACTGGACAAGAGGAAAAAGCTGGTGATTTACGTCAAAAAAGTGGTGATTTTAATGCAGCAATAACGCTGTATCTTCGTGCAGGTGTACCTGGTAAAGCTGCGCGTTTAGCACTAACTGAATCGAAAATCTCATCAGATAGAATGTTGATGGAAAGAATCATTGTGGTACGTGTGGAAAAAGTTTTAGCATGTTTTATCGTCTGGTTGTGTCATTTGTTTGGGTGTGGGAAAACTGAAGGCTTATCCTGATGAGTTTTCGGAGACGCTTTCATATTGAAATCAGTCCAATGTATGCAACGGCTTAAGAAAGTTGATAACAATCAATATCATTGTTAGTGATTAGCAGTGACTTAGTGAATGACGAAGAAAAAAAGTTAGTTGATTGGATATTACAGTCCAAAGAGGTGGTCATTAGGGTGTTTAAGACGTGATACTCATAGACTGAGATTGTTATTTGTATGTTCTTGATGATAAGAAAACTTCATTCTCCAATTAAACGGGAATTCACGATGTATAGGTGATCACTTACTGTAAGTTGGTGCAAAAAGTTCTATTATAACAACCAGGTTTAAGTGTAGGGTCTTGGAGATTGTCGAGTTCCAATGAAATCATTTAACGACCAACGTTAGACCACCAATGGAAACCTGAAAGCATTGGACGACTGTTTTGCTCTAATGTAGATACAGTGAAGTCAAGACTAGATAGGATATCTGTATTTGGATAAGACAGTTTATTTACAAAATATGTACATATAATCTTCAGACATCTTTTTGCAATTCAAGCAGCCAACTGACTGTCTTCCCTCACTTCTCTTCCGGTCTTCGATAGGCTTCAGTTTGTTTCATTTAATTTCACATCTTTTACCGTGTACTGTGATTTGATATCATTTAGTTGACAGACGTGTAGCACCTTCATATCCCACATACACTAGAAAGGCGCTTATTTTTTAACTACACTAATTTCATCTCTGTCACTGATGTTAAATATTTTGAAATCATGAAAATATAACTTTATTTCAGTACCTATAGTTTCGATCTCGAGAGGTAGGGTCAGATGAGAGACTTGCTGTTTGTAAGTTCTAAGTGTATAAGGACTCATCGTAGTGACGTGTAATAGAGAAGTAAAGAAATGCTTGAACTCATCATACCGTTGTCGGATATTCAATTTCCACTCCGTACACCAAATCTAATTTTTAGGACCGGCTGGGGATAAACTAGGAAAATATCACTGTATCATCTGATTCCCGAGATGATTTAACTAAATGACTGATTACTATTTTCGAAAACAGTTATAATCGTTTCATGAAATTAGCTGCAAAATTACTAAAAACAAATTTTGTCGCCAATATGGGATTCTTTAAAAGAGTGCATGCCCATGCCTCACCAATGATTGAATCCAGAGTATTTAGGTTTTGTTGTGAGGGCGTTATTTTTGGATTATCAAGTTTACTTACAACAACTAACATTCCTAAAAGTAGTCAGTCTTTTTCATGAATGAATTTTATTTCAAAATACAAAAAATTATTTTATTATTATCTGTTCAGTACTTATGTAACCGTAATAACCGAAATACCTGGGACAATTAATTTAACAATGCTGTCGTTAGGAAACGAGTCCTAGGTAAGGTTTTCAGATCAGTTGACGAAGTTTTGAATGTTGATCAGTTGAGGTGGTGGGGACAGGTGTTACGTATACCCAACCACCGATTGCCTCGACGAGCAATGTTTTGTGGTGTAGGCGTAGGCCTGAAGAAGACTATGGGTGGTCGAACCAAAACATGGCACAAATCCATGAAGTCACAGACAACATGACTGAATCATGTCTGTAATTGTAGACTACTTGGTTGGGCTCCGCGAGATGTTAGTAATCGATGGTTAGAGACCTTGAATGACATGGCTCTTAACCGTTTGTAATGGCGAAGATGCATTCATTCTTTATCTTCTCTCAAATCCAGCCTGATTTCCTCATCATCTTTCTCTTTCTAAGTTTATTTCACTAGATTATACTTCTCGAATAATATCTTCGAACCCTGATCTCTTCGTCTACTGCTAATACTTTTACTACCTCTACTACTGTGTGATTTGAATCGACTATTGCAGCTCTCTGCTAATGTGGTATGGCAACTCAAAATAATCCACATACGTACGGAGTTCTACGTTGTTGCTGACTGACTGACTGAGTCACGAAAATAAATATGCCTTGACGAGATCTAGTTTAGCCGTCACTAACAAGAACTTATACATAACCTTGATAACTTTACAAATCATGCGGAGTTTCTACTAACAGACGTCCGTATATTTATGCATATATTCTAAGTAACTATCCGTGGTCAGTGTATTGCTCTCAGGGATACACTATTCATAGTCGCGGAGACTAGGTTATTCAGAGACGGGGGAAGGATTTTGTTTAGAGCAAGTTGGTATCGTGTAATGTTTCGGGTATGAAAGTGGATATCACTTCCTGGTAGCCCATACTGTGTTAAAGTATTCATTGAGGAGCATGAAAAGGAAGTTAGATAAGCATTTGTCCTAGGGACCTGGCAGCGTGACCGTCGAGTCGAAGAGAAACCTGCTTGAAACCGGTTACGCATAGCCTTTTTATGAGATGTTTTGGAAGTGTTATCTCCCCTCCTCGAAAGTCCTGACTCCCGGAGATGGCAATTCGTGAGGTATGATGAGGTGTGAAATTTTTAGGTTCGGACTTTTCTAACCCCTCCCTCCCGTTGTAAGAAGGCACCATCACTGCAGATGCTGGTTGTCCAAGGGAAACACCTTACTGCTGTTACACTCCTCTACAGTCAGCATTAGGACTTCTCCCTCACACTTCAAGTTGCCGCTTTTAATTTTACCGTTCTCAAACCTATCTACCTGGTACGGTAGTATCTAAAGAAACTGTATGTTCTAGCTGATTTAGCTCAGTTGGGTCATTACGACTGGCAAGCCCAACAACCACGTCAATGTGGCAGCTACGGTTGGATGATCTTAATACTCAAGTAGACAGCCGGGTGGATCTTACGGTATTGAGGCTCATCAAACAGATAGTGATGATCGTTAGCTGCAGCTGAGCTCAGATAACTGCCTTCTTCTGGAAAATACCAACTTTAAGGAAGACCATCTTTTTTTAACATGGTGATCACTCATCGATGGAGAGGCACGACAGAAAACCACCTCATTCTGGAGCGCACGTTTAAGATTCAGATCATGCTCTAGTACGATCAAGTACGTCTGTGGCTTACTGAACGCAAGAAAAACACAGAAACGTAATCCCTTAAAGTTCTACTTAATGATAAAAAAGACAAGAGTATATTTTGAGAGCAGGTAAACTGGTGTTAGAAAACCAACTGTTAGTGAAACTGTCTTGAAAAAAAGGGACTACTATTCGTCCTCAATTCAGGAGTTTGAGTCGATAGGACAGAACACTAGGTTGCAGTTCAGCTGGCCTTCAGCAAAACTTTAGTTACCGACCGTCTCCAGGCAACCTGAATGGCAAGTTGCTATAAGTCCTCCAACACTTAATAAGATTGAAAAGATTATATGAATTCTAAAAGTGGGGGAACAGCATAGCTTGATAAGCGAACCTCTGAGATTTTTAAGGATGGTGGTCCAGTTTTAGCAGTTAGACTGACTGAGATTGTGGGTAGAATCTGAGAACTGGACGTAATTCCATCTTACCGGCCTCAATCATTGATTATCTCAATCCATAAGAAAACAAAAGAAATCCTCTTGCGATAATCAATGAGGAATCAGCCTAACTAGTATGGTGTCTTATTTATTAGCTTCGATAATACTTCAACGGACTAGCTGGAGTCCGCGAGACGATAGTGACCGGTGGATAGAGATTTTGAATGACATGACTCAAAATCGTTTGCGATGACGCAGATGGATCTTTTGTCTACTCTCAAATTCTATTCTTCCGAATTCCTCTTGACGTTTATTCTCTTTTCGAATTTACTTCACTGGATTATACTTCTTGAATCATGCTTTTGATCTCTTACCTTTTCCATTGCTGCTAATACTGCTGCTAGCTTTATTTTTATGAGAGTTGGCCTGGAAATTCTTTCTCTCTGTGTGTTACGCCTGCATGTAAACACGTCAACTTCATATACTTGAACTTTTATGAGTATACCTTAGTCGAGGATCCAGCGACACGACATGCCACTCAAATCCTATTATCCCAACCCCATTGATTAAAATTAAGAAGACTTGATATGAAGTAGAACCTGTATTCTACAAGCATCCAGAAAGTACGAGGTCCGAATCCAGAAGAGAATCAGGATCCCGGACCGGGTCCTGGTCCTGGTCATAAACGTTACAGATAATGCGTATTCATACATTTTGGTCGAATAGGAAACAGCATCGAAGTCTGTGACATTGACAGTTAAGACGACCAATAGGAAGCAACATTTGAAGTGAGATTGGTAGTCAGGAAAACCAATAAGAAACAACATTGGAGCACGTGACATTGATATCTAAGACGACCATCTAATTGACCGGTAGGAATTAAACAATAGGAATTGACCAATAATTCTCTTAGGATATTGGATGAATATCCTAACAATTATCAATGCAGGGGCTTAGATTATTTACTTGCACTACAGGGTCCTGTTGACAGAGGACAAATATATTTCTGTTTGTAAGATGATTAAAACGATGTCTCACATAAATTACTAACAAACTGAGTGAATGAATGAATACTTGAAAATGTTGAATATCTCATTTATATTGAATAGTGCTAAACGGTTGATTATTATTACACTTAATTTACGAGAAGAGAAGGTTATCAATTAGTTTATTAAAAATAGTGATAGTACATATCCCACTACAATTACAAAATCTACAGTCATAACTGAAAGATGATCTCATTTGTGCGATAAATCCAAAATGCTCATAAAATGAGAAATTATTACTTACTGTTGAAGCTTTAGGTTTAGCGAGTGAGATTTCTATGGAATAGCGTCGTCAACCCTATGCTCCAATCCTCCTTTGTTATGCGGGACCGGCAGTAGCCCCAGTAGGGCTCCAGACAGAGTTTTTAGGGTTTACTGCAGCTTATTAATCATAAGGCAAATATTTTGTTGATACAAATTAAGCCGGTAAACAATATCTAGTCAAGTTATTTAATAACAACCAACAATCATTGAAATTCGATAAGCTTCTTGTCATATAGGCAACTTTAGCAAATCTCCTCGATATTTCCACACAGTTCAGAAATTTTTTATTAAAGTTGGATAGTGACTAGCAATGGGATTCAAGAACCATGGGAGGCTTCAGCTGAATGCGTCTGTATCACGGTGTTGATAGTCAAACAGGGTCACAAACATGTAAGTAAAAATTCACTTTTGTTGCACATACCAATTGCTTTCCGGAATCAGTAGCCAAATGAACAGCTTGTTGCAAGTTTTGAAGCCAAGGGTACTGGATTCAATTTTTACAACGTGATACAAATACATTCAAGTGATGAAACTCATGGTATGATTTACATTGTTAACCACTATCCAACTTCAGAGAAAATCATGCTAACATTGCTTCTTATTTTTCCTTATTTTATATGAACTTTCTTTTTTTTTTAAAAAAAAGTCACTAACTCAATGTGAATTATATGAAAAAGCTGGTGAATTATATCAAAGTTTAGGTCAATCAGAGGATGCTTTGCGTTGTTATCGTCAAGGTCATTGTTATCAAAAAGCCATTGACTTAGCTAGGACATCTTTTTCATCGAATATTTTACAATTAGAAGAAGAATGGGGTGATTATTTAGTGATAAAACAACAAATGGATAATGCAATTAATCATTTTATTGAAGCTGGGTAAGTTAATAAATATTTGATAATTTCTAATATGTTTGGATCATACATAGAATTATGACCAAGACTGTGATATGTTCGTCACTAGGTACGCTTGAAGCTATTATGAGTTCACCTTAGTCGTTAAACGCGAACGAGACAATTATCAGCGTCCAGATAGGCTACAATGAATCCCAAGCTGAAGATAGAAGGCTTTGTAAGCGTAGAAAGTATATTCTACAAACACCCAGCAATCACACAATAAAATCAAGCACACAACTCTCGTTTATTTATACATCATAGAAACGTCCTTGGGACAGTCACGAAAATAGCACAACACTAAAATACACAGCAGCCAATCACAGCCACGTATTTTCCTGGTGGGAAATGAAATCTCAAGGTCAACTGATCAGCCCATGCTCGCAAAAGTGAAATCCAAAAAAGGCATTTATCAAGCGAGTTTTGGGGATCTAACATCCCCAACAGACTGTTAGATTGTACATTGAATGAATAGTATTTGGTATCAGTGAGCTTGATTCATTGAATATAGTAACAATGTGATTAATATAGGCAATAAAATGTTTACATCAACATAGAACAGCGTATCACTTTATAGGATTAGTCATTTTAGATTCTTTGTGTCTATATGATCATTGAGATAACGATTGGATCAAACAATCGATTCGATTATTCAGTAATATCATGTAGAAATTTGCACAGAATAAGGAAAGAAGTTAGGTAGTTCAAGATTATTAGTTTAGCGAGGTTTGGGAAGTTAGCGCATATTACGATCAGGTCTCGGAAACTGCGATTCATAGCAGTTTGATGCAAAGAATAATTTGCTGTCTTCAGTTAATCATGTACTTCAAATGGAACGAAAAACTCCGGGAGGTTATATGAAAGAAAAAATGAATAGTAATGAAGATTTTTTTCCTGTGTATGCAAAAATACTTCATCGAGTCAACCAGATGTTAGCTGAAAGTCAACATTTTCAATGACATCAAGGGCAAAATAACTACAGATTAAGACACAAACTGGTGCGAAACTATTCAATGTTTCATTCATCTCAGTCGATGAAAGGGGATATTAATGATACTAGTTATTACCAGTTAGTTTCATAAATAAATGAAACATATGTTTAATATCTTGATTAGAAGTGTTCGGACATTTTGTTTATCCTTTTCTCACTTAACATGGTATCTACGTTCATTCAGATGACTAAGCAATGTGAATCAAATTTGAACCAATTTATAGAATGAAGATAAGACGTTATGAAAAGGGTGTATTGATTGATACTCATTTCTGAAGAATAAGAAACTTTATAAGTTTACGAGAGCCACTGTTGAATAGACTATAAATAGAAAACAAATTTTCTCCACCATCTCAACATCTTTTCCAAGTACAAAAGTGACACTTGGAAGCACTGGACGGCCATTTTGTCCTGGTATGGGACTCACCAGCAGTGCGCATCCGACTCCTGCATCTCGCAGGATTCGTACACGGGACCTTTGGTATTGTAAGCGAACGCCTATATATGACTGAAGGCTAAAAATGTAAGGAACCAGAATATAGGATAGCAAATAATTTGTTTAATGCAATTACATGCATTCTCCACACAATGAGTTTTGGGTACAAATCAATGGTCGTAAAGAAATCATATATTTGATGTTAAGTAAATTTGGTATCTAACCAATCATATCACACTTCCTCATGTATGTAGAAAATGATGAAGTTGAATGTCTGATTTAAATTTCGGAATCCCCTCAGTTTATTATAACCGAATCATGTTTGTCAGTGTCTTGTTAGATTTCAAACTTGAAACCTCATTATTCTCGGCGTATAATAGACTTGAGGTCTAGTTTGATTTTTAACAGCTGTGTTGTAACCGATTGAAAAGTAGATCAATACTATTTTGTTTGCAACTACTAGTATGATTTAGCTAACTTTACAGTCAACAAGTTTAACCAATAGTTATTGACCATATTTTCTGTAAATATAAAAATTAAATCATGTAGTTCTTTTACTGAATGTAGTTCTTGGTTCAGTGTGTCAAGAGAAAAGACAGTGGATTCACTTTATTGGGGAAGTGTTTCAACTATTGTTTCACAGTATGATATGGACATTTTTTCACATATTCAGTCTTCAACCATTTACGAGAGCAGAATGTAACGTGTACTTAGTTATTAATATTCAGTTAAATTTCAAAAGTAGTTTTTTTCCTCGCGGGATGTGTTATGTCCTAATACTGACCAATATACATAGAGAAGATTTTAACAATAAAATACGTAACAATGATGCGAGAACTGATACTTTGCGCTTGGCTATGGACCCAATACTATCAGGCGACCGACCAGAGGAGGACACAAATCCAGTGACCACCGATCCAAGATTAAGATCGTTATTCTAGTTCAGACATTCAAATATATATACAAACACACCCATACCAGACCACAGCACATGAACAAAAATGGAAATTTTTCCATTAAGTATGAAACAGGCAAAAATTGTGAGTAGGGGAGACTCTGAGTTACCAACACTGTAACACAGTGTACGAAATCGAAATCGATAGTCTGCAGCTCCAAGTGTTTATCATTTTAGAAACCTCAGTCATCTGATTCACCTTACGTGTTTGTACAGCTTGGCTTTCTGATGTTTCTCAGTCTTATACATGGTCTGCAACGCTTAGGCAATGTACTCTGTATATGTATATAAGATCAAATCAATAAATTCTCTACTCATACAAATACACATATATTTCTGGATTAATCCAGACGGATAGGAAAGTCCACGTAGTAGAACACAGTTATTTTCAGAGTGTCCCAAATCATTTAATCAGTCAACTTGAGTAAGTGGGTAATTTTTTCTACACAGTCACTCACTCAGTCACAGTGATCGTACGTCAATTTTCATGCCTTACTCATGATTTTATCTTTACAACAGTGTACTTACTCTATTTTCGTCTAACTTTATGATTAATTCACAGCTGCACTAGTTCATTGTTTCTTATTGAGGAATAAATAAACATACAATTACATTTTTACACTTCATTTCTAGTGCATATGTGAAAGCAGTGGATGCAGCAATTCATTCATGTCAATGGACAAAAGCTTCTCAAATTTTAACATCAATTGAAAATGAAAAATTATCTGACCAACTTTCACCTTATTATGTTAAACTTGCTGAACATTATGCTGCAAATCGTGAATACGATGCAGCGGAACAAGCATTTCTTAAGGCGAATCAATTAAAATTAGCTGTGAATATGTATATTTCAGCTGGAATATGGGAAAAAGCACATTGTCTAGCTTCGGTGACTATGAATCAAACAGAATTAACTAAGTAAGCTTGTTGGTAATTTATTTTTTATTTAATAATTTTAAATTTTTTGATTAATGCTTAAAATGTGCAATTGATTTGCTCTTCTTGTCCATAGGTGCATTTGCTTTGATATTGTACCATTCATTAGCGTACAAGCATAATTCACACAAAGATGCAAGAGAATCCTAAATACGACAAAATGTGCGTCTTCGATTCCATTGCAAGCCATCATTCGCCTCTGCTAATCATACAAGGAGTATTTTAAGAGGATTTATTTACTAGTAAACACTTAAGCTCTTTGTTTCATTAATCAATAATGCATAGAAATTTATGATGTCTGTCTCATCCGGAGTTTAATGTTTTTCCGGTTGAGAAATATCAGTAGTTTCATTCTAATTTCAAAGCCCTAAGGCAAAATGTCTGATAGAGATAAGTTTGACTTCGCGCAAAAAGCTTATTGGTTCCAGGTTTCTTTTTCTTAAGAGTTCAAAACAAAAATTCTAATGATAATTTTCAACGCATTAATTTTACACGATTGGTTATTTATTAAAAATAATTTATTTTATGTCTCGACTAAATCAACATTTTATTGATCTAAGCGATAATGTCAACATGAAGTCAGATAAATAAAAGAACACCACAAAACTTGATCAACAGTCATCGTGTTGGTTATCATGGGGTTATTTTCGTTTGATGCAAAATTTTTCTGTAAATATCTTTAACCATTGTTCCATCTTAATAATTGAATAAAAAGAGATTGTGGTACAAAGTAAAGATGAAAGCAGAAAATCTTAGCAATTGATCTTGTCATAATACTGAAGTTTAGTCCCCATAGTGAAAGAAAAGCAAACGTTCCGTGCTTTATTATCTGCAAGGATTGGTTGGCGTTTTCTTTAGCGAGTTAGTTCTCTACGGGTTGTGGTTGCCAAGCCCACACCCAACCCTTCACCTTTATCTAGGCTTGGCACTAGCAGTAACTCCAGAATAGCCACAGGTGGAGTTAAGTTATATTATTTGCATGTAATTGGAACTATCTTAATACTAATTCACGTCTTTGAAAATAGTCCATTCGTTTTAAAATACGTCATGAGTAATTTTTTAAAGCTGGTGTTATGCAATTAGTTGCATAAACTCCTATCGATCTATACTTACATAATTGTCTACGTTGTAACTGACTGACTAAATCTATTAATTGAGTTACACAAATTAGTTTACACCTTCAAATGTTTCAATGTACTTAAATAATCAATGAGAAAAAAAATAGCGGTTTGTTGCAGATTAATGAGTGAAAATAAAACTCATTCCAGTTTACATGGATCACTCATACAAGGTATCGAAAATGAAATATTCAATATGACGGCAAGTTGTAAACAGTACCTCACTTCTTCACCTGGTTCCTTGAAAGTTTAATTGAAAGATGACTCACTACTTACTTCACCAGTGGATTTGTCAGCTTTAATTGGTACCAGTTAGTTAGATCAGTGCTTTGATAGCATCTATGTTTAAATATTAGCAATCTATGAATATCCTGTTTCAAGTAATCATGGTTCACAATATTCACCAAAGATCGTACAGGGTGATTGAATTCAGAGTTTTCAGGTCGAGTCAGGTTATAATTTCGACTATTCAGTTAATTATCGGAGATAGCTGTTATTTCCACTGACTGAACTAGCATCGTGAGTTATACCGTGGTACATAGTCGAATTTTTTTTGTCAGTTTAGGGAATTCCCAGTTTTTAATATTATTACCAATATTAATATTACAATTATTGTCATCATTGTCATTGCCTTCATTACTTACTATAATTGTTAATGGTTCAATTTCATTCCTATTAATTAGTATGTACATATCACATGCTGAAGAATTTGAAAATATTGGTAATTTCAAAGAAGCTGAACGTTTATATTTAACTGTTAACGAAACTGATCGAGCAATATCCATGTATAAAAATGCCCGTCAGTATAGAGAGATGTTACGTTTGGTAAAACAATTCAATGCTGATTTATTAGATCAAACTTATTTACATCTGGCGGAACAACTTCAAAGTGAAGGAAATTTAAAACAAGCAGAACAGTATTATTTAGAGGTATGCATATTGGTTTATATCAGTGTTGAGAACAAAATATTGATCTATATAAGTGGACAGGTAGACTAGAAACAGTAAATTGCATTTTTATGCTACAAGGTTAGAACAACCCATTTACTCAGTTCATGTTCTTGTGCACACATCTTCGAGTTCTATTCTTGTGCTACCTGACTTGAAAAACTGAGGTATAAGTGGGGAAAAGAAATAACCTGTTATGTAGTGTTTATTTATGACAATGGATTATACACTCACCGTCTCTGATAAGATCCTTCCATAATAGTGATTATCAAGGAGGATTTTTGACGGCTTCATAAAAACTCTGATAAACCATTAGTGGTTAATATTAACTGATGGTAGATGCGATTTTGAGAGACAATATTACCAGCTCAGGTAAACATAGACTTGATAAAATAACTTAACAAATAGGATTGTTTACTGTATTAATGAATTCGAGATTTAAGTGGCTATCATATATTTACAATGCTGAATGTATAGCTCTTCAGAATAAATGAGGGTAGTACAATTTAACTAGTTTAAGGCATCAGCTTGTAGTGATAACTCCACACGAAGTATTTTGTCACTGAAATTATATCAAATCAATATTCGATCTGATAACTTCCTATCTTTCTAATACAGTTCATATGTGATTCACTTATATAGTCAACGCAATAGAGTGAATGATATTCATCATGAACCCGAGACTGGTCTGAGAATAATTGAAAGCATCAGATGAGTAGTTTACTGTTAGATTCTTCTTGTATGAAACTTGAGTTTATTCACAATGTCTTTCTTCATAACTAGGTTTCATAATAAACTTATCTTCTATCTTCAGTCATCTCACCACATAGCACCATTAATGCTCAAGTAATTTTTAGCACATGGAACATTCAGTACTTCAGGTGACATACCGGATATGCAAAGTCACATATAGCCGCGGCATCATTCCCGTTCTGCAGTGACCGAACGATAAGGCCAATTGATAACCATTGGAAAATGTCACAAACGACGAATGCATATCATTTTTTAAGAAGTGGCTTCACTTTCTAAGGAGATGAATACATAGATATAGCAGAGTATTTGTTTATATCATTCGGTAGCCAAATGACTTCTCATTTCAATTTTGTGTTCTAGCTCAAGCAGCCAGTTATGCGGCGGAGAGGGGGGAACGGCACTTACTGCGGTCAGATTTCGGCACCGCGCATAATAAGATAATTGACAAACAATTTTTTTATACTTTGACATAGAACTGCTACAAAAAAGAGTTAAATTTTTGACCGTTAATTCTTTGACTGACTTTATGTCTTTGGCATATGCTGGATTCGAATTGAAAATATTTTGATTGCTTAGCAAAATAATGTCTGTCTTTAAACAGGATTGAAACGTTGAAAATTTAACTATCAAATTGTTGTTCACTTTACAATTTTAAAATAACTCTAGGCTAAAGATTGGAAATCCGCTGTGAACATGTATCGTACCATTGATCGATGGGAAGATGCTTATCGTGTTGCATCGAATTGTACCGAACAACCGGAATTACGTAAACAGGTTGCTTATTTATGGGCAAAACATTTGGGTGGTGAATCAGCTGTTCGACTGTTGACACGTTTACGTTCCATAGAAAATGCCATTGATTATGCCATGGAACATGGTGCGTTTGATTTTGCATTTGAATTAGCTCAATCCGGTTGTTGCCTTGAACGTTTACATGAAATTCATAATAAATATGCAATGTTTTTGGAAGATGAGGGAAAATTTTTCGAAGCTGAAGAACAGTTTATTAAGGTGAGTGATCATTAGAGAGAAAAAAATAGATAAACGTTGTATTTTGGTATATTTGTATGGTTAGCACAAAGATGAGCCAATTATGTCGAGTTCAAGGTCATTGGGGGAATGTTCAAACTAAAAAATGTTTACTATATAAAGTTTTTGGTTTGTTCTAAACAAGTACATGATTCGATTATAGCCAGTAGTCGACCATCTGTGTGATATGAAGAAAAGCTAAAACCAAGATGAAATTTGATAGGATCATTTAAGGAATCGTTCTTGTTCTTTTTCAGATTTCAGTTTGAACTTTGTTTATGTTAATCAAAAACTTTACATTAATCAGAACAGAAACTAAACCCTTTATAACCTTCCTTTCAATATTCACCATTATCAACTGATTTCATTTTATCGCAAATGAATTCAGCTGGTAATTCTTAGATCCTAAATCACTGACACACATTAAAACCAATTTGGCATTAAGATGGTTTTTTTAATATACACTCACTATGATTATCATGAAAAAGTAACGAATAGGCTTATTGTATAAATCTGATTGACATGTAACAATAGTTCAGTAATTGTGATATAACTTTGTACAGCGAAAATCTATTATCCGATTAAAATTATTCAAATGCAATCTATAGAAAACACTTATTGTTTTTTTACAAACTTGATCATAATTTGTATTTTCAATTAGCGTTGTGGAGATTAGTGTTTTTAGACATTTGAAATCATCAATCAATCATTGTTAGACCACCAAAATCCCTAGATCAATCAGAGTTAGACATTAACACTGTAGGATGACGGCCCAGTGGTCCATTGGTTAGGCGTTCGCTCACAATACCGAAAGTCTCGGGTTCGAATCCTGGGAGGTGCAGGAGTCGTGGAAGCGCACTGCTGATGAGTCCGATACCAGGACGAAACGGCCGTCCAGTGCTTCCAGGTTTCTAATGATTTCAAAATGCATAATATGTATGATTAATTCAGACTAAACACCATAGAACTCAATGAAAATTAATGATAACCAATATCTGTGTTTTAATTCGAAGATTTGTTTTTTAATGTAATTCAACTCCTTCTCAACTTAGTTATTGATTATTTTAGGCAGGTAAACCCAGAGAAGCAGTACTCATGTATGTTCACAATCAAGATTGGGATTCAGCTGCACGTGTGGCCAGTGAACATGATCCAGACAGTTTAAATGATGTATTACTTGAACAAGCTAGATTAGCATTTGAAGAAAAGGAATTCGCTCAAGCTGAAGCACTGTTTTTAAGAGCTCAACGTCCTAATTTGATAGTACGTGCTTATCGTGAAGCAGGCATGTGGGAAGAAGCAATTCGAATCGCTGAAACTTATTTACCAAATAGAGTTGAAGAGTTGAAGGCAAGTTAACAATCATAAATAATTTAGGCATGATTGAAACTAAATTTTCTTTTTTTCTCTAAGCTAAAACATTCCGGTCTATCTTGCTTCTTTTTCATGAGACAGACAACCTAGTCAGGCTTTTCACCATGAAATGAAATGAATTTAGACAATTGTTCATATATTAAAAACAACACTTCAAAGAGTAGAGCTCACAAAGAGAAAACTACATGAGCGAAAACAAAAGAACAGAAATAACAGTGAACTCATTTTCAGTAAACGATCTAAATAAAAGTACAAATAAAAATCAAATAAGAGATGGATTGTGACAAAGACTAATTCAATGTCACACACACACACAATATGACATGTTTGAAATGTGTAAGTAAAGTAGGGTAGAAGTTTGATAGATAAAGAATAGATATAAAGCTGTAAGCTGAAACTCAACATCTTACAAAAATCTCACTTAAGTCATATTGTTTGAAATGTTCACGTTTCATTATTTAACAATCAGATATACATATATATATTTTAAACAAATATAGGAAGAATTACGTGAAGAAAGACTACATGCCATAACAGGTGGACAAAGATTATCCGGTCGTAAACAATCTACCGATCATCGTAAAGCATTACTTACAGCAATTGATGAATTGATCGACACAAGTACAAATACGTATATTTTACAAGCAAGAAATTATGAATCTCACGGTGAATATTTACGTGCAATTGAAAATTATTTAAAAATTACACCGAATACAAATTCTGTTGATAATAATAATAATCAGAATACAACTGATTCAATGATGAAACAACCACTTACACTAGAATTATGTGAACGTGCTTGGATGCATGCGGTTAATTTGGCGGTGAAGTTTTTACCACCTGAAAGTTCAGCTAAAGTTACCGAACTGGTTGCTTCCCGTTTAATATCATTTCAAGTAAGTAATTTATAGTAATATTAAGGATTATTTACAATATAATGAATCGATTGCAAAGTGTTAAGTTGTTTACTTGACATAACTAATGGGGGATACAATATTTGACACTCGAACAAACAGAACCGACCCGACTCTTGTCGAAGATAAAAAGGTTGCAGAAAACAGATGTATTTACTCCAGTAGGCATCAAAATGTACCGGAAAATCAAATGTATCTACAGTTTTTGGTATAGACTGCAAACAATGACGTGTTACACAATTGTTTAATCCATTGTTCATGGCTTCTTAATAGAACTCCCAGTTTTCAGTGGCGGTCTAACACTGATCGGTCTATGATCGTCATGAAAATACCCTAACCCTACACATCGTCCCAATACTATACAGTGTGGCTCAGTATGAATGAGAAAAGCATCAACAACACCAACTTGCATTTTGATTAAAACAAGATACTAAATCATCAATATCGTGTTACACAATTATCCAATCACCGTATTCCACATCGACATTCTATAAATTTTATCCAGCTGTGATTGGGTGGAATTTCTTTGGCTCCTTTAGAGCCTCTAGGAGCCACATCAATATTAATAAAAATTTTATTGGTGCAAACAAATTCCCAGAGCTAAAGTCCTCACCTTGGTTTAGTTAATAGATATTTTCTTGTGAAACATACTGAATTTCTGCCACATAAATCAAAAATGTAAAAGCATTCTAAGTTAGAAAACGTAATCAATATTTTGGAGCTTCTTCCGAAAAAGGTATCATTGTTCCAATGTAACAGAACTTTTCCATAGAAACCATGAATCGGTGAATATTAGACTCCCATTAGAAACCTAGAAGTAATGGAGAGCTGTTTCGTCTAAGTAAGGGGTTCATTGGTAGTGCGCATCCATGACCCCTAACAGGGAAATCGGACATAGGACCATCGGCATTCCGAGCGATTATTATCCGGATACCATGAGGTTCGATTTCCCTGAGCGAGGTCGTAGATACAAACTGCCAACGCACCCATACTTGGACGAAACGACCATGCAATAGTAGTCTGTAGTTGATCTATCCATGATTTTCACGAAACAGCAATCTACAAAATTCCACACTGACATAAAATATGTACGTCAAGAAGTGAGTTTCAAGATTCAGCATCGATAATATATCTATTGAAACCTAACAGAGCATAGCATTTCTGATCGATTTGTAAATGATATCGTTAATAATCAATCGTTAAAATGTTTGGTTCAGGATGCAATGTGTTCTTCGGTCCTCCTCTTTTCCTTTGGCATAGGAGATTCCATGTTAATGCTTGTCTTCTGGTTAAGTGCCTTTGGTAAAGTGTGTCCCACCCAAACCCCGCCGTTTTTCTTAATTTCTTCCTCAGCCGGAAGCTGGTTCGTTGCTTGTAATTGATGGTGTCTGGCTAACGGATCCTGAGTATCTTGATCAGACCACTGTTTACAAACATGTGTATCTTTTAGATGATGGCTGTTGTCGTTTTCCAAGTTTCCGCTCCGTGCAATAGAAGTAACTGTTTGTATCGAAACTTTTGACTTTGGCTGACAGTTTGAGGATCTTGTACCAGGAAACAAATTAGAATGAGGCAGGAATTATTATGCTTGTTATTGTAATCCATAATGTCCGCCATTGTTCGTTGTGTATGGTTTTTTGCTAGCTTAACCGAGTCACAGCAGTGTTTGGTGTTTCCATGTGACAGAATATTGAAATTTATGGATGACTTGACAACAGGGAGTTTTTCTTCACTCCAAATATGAGTTTATTTAGTCATTGAGGAGTAGATAAGTCAGTACGAATAAAATAAACCGCAAATAGTGCTTTTTGTATAGGTAAATTTGTTCGGTTTTTATCAACTTCAACAGACTGGAAATAACTTTTGAATTGCTGGTCAATCATGTATGAAACCGATTTATTAAGTACTGTGGGACCGAAAGTTTTAACGGATACATTTGTAACCCATATGTTAAGCACATGTTTATTTGTGTATTTCGTTTTATAATAGTTGGACAACTACTGTTCAGTCTATCACTAAATACACACAACCTTAAAGGTATTGACAGAAAATGGCTAGCAATGAAATCCAGAATGTAAGTTTCGTCCTATTTAAGACGGCTGTACCTGTATTTCAGGGTTAATTTTCTCAGCATACTGGAAGGCAGAGTACCCTTCACTTCAAACGTTAACTCATGATCCATCTAACTACTCAATCCTTAGTGTTATCCACTTGCGAAATAGTACTTGAACAGTTTCATTCAAGGCGAAGCGCGCATCATGCATTCCAATACAAGTGTTTCATAATGGCTACACCAAGATAATCCACACAGGATGTCCGCCTGTCAATCCAGATGATCGAATTCCTGTCAAAATATCAAAAACGTAACAAGCTAGCTTTCCTCATAAAGGTTATGGAGATTTTTGTAGTAGTGTATTGTACTCATTGCTGATGAGTCCCAAATGTAGTATGAAACGGTCGTTTAGTCCATTCTAGGTTACTAATGATGGTCTAACAATGATTGACTGACAATCCCTATGAAAAACTAGCTTTTATTTTTATGCTTTTATTTGGTTTTAGCGTTATACTCTAGCCGGTGAATTATTTTTAAGTATTGATAAAATACAAAAAGCTGTCGATGCATTTATTGCTGGAGAGAATTGGTCAAAGGCCAAAGGTGTAGCACGTGAATTGGAACCACGTTTAGAATCATATGTTGAAGCAAAGTATAGAGAAGCGCTAAAAGTAAGTAATATCTGTTTTGAAATAAATTAGTTTTAATGTTTACATAAGAAGATTAGGTTGAATTTACGGTAATATTCACTGCGTAAAACTAGCCAAGTTCAAACGGAAGAACACTTCCATGTTTTAATGACCATGACTTGAGTTAACAAAATTCGAATAACATTGTTTATTGGGTCGAGCGAAAAATGGATCTACCTAACCCGTTTATTGTTGAAAGTATATGTTACTGATAGAGTTCTGAACTGGACAAAGCTACTTTTGTCCAGCATCTTTACAATTTCTAATTATCTATACTAATTGGTTTGCAGTAAAATGTGTTGAATTCTTCTAGTCAAGATGAAGTCAGTTTGACATAAGGATAAACATTCTGTCATTTTCTCAACTGATCTTCACCACCAACTGCTTGAACACATCTTACAGACATACGAAAAACTTTCTAAGTCGTGAAAAAATAGTCAACAGTTCTTCACTAGTCGAAAATTTTCAACAAAAAATATCGTGTTAACATTATTTTACAGACATTACTAACGCCTGTTTTCCCTAATAGAGCATAGGCCGCCGACCTGCATTCTCCAAATTAATCTGTACTGGACCTTCCGTATAAACTCGACTTTTATCACGAGGTGTCATAACTCTTCTATATGAAGGACTTCCATCTCCCAGGCCAGAATTTAAATGGTTTGAATTAGCGTTTCTTTTAGTGAGTTGATTTTCTACAGAATGAGATCACTAACCTCATTCCCACTTCTCAGTAACCGGTGTTGTATCCCAACTGATAATCGAAATCTATCAAACAAGATGAATTTTCGTTTGAATGACTAAATATTGTGCTTAATTTTTGATTTACTGTTGGCCGCATTTAATAAATAACCCTAATCTGCTAAGTACTTTTTTCAGTATTTCCATGTTTTCTCTTGCTTTTTTTCATCATCATACAGATGAGTGGACAAGCAGAAACATTAGCTAGTGTTGATATTAATTCAGCTTTAGATATGTATGTAGAACAAGGTAAATGGGATAAGTGTTTATCTACAGTGGAACAATTATTACATGAAGCAAAACAAACTTCAAATGATCGTAATAATAAAACTACTGACAATAATTCATCAGCAGTTTTAATAGAACATCAACGTCTACACAAATATGTTGCTGTGTATGCAGCCAATTTAATTAAAGATTCACGTGTTTATGATGCAATGTTATTGTATAAAAAATATGGTACACCAGCATATAAACAAAATTTCAATATTTACAAACGTATATTTCAAGTGAGTAAATTACATTTAATTTGAAATCATGAATTGATCATTGCTGGACCATTAATAGAAACCTGGTAGTGGTGGATGGTCGTCGGGTCTTAGCATGGGACTTTTTAGCAGTGCGCATTCATGAAATCCGCTCGCGGAAACCGAACACAAGAGCTTCGTGCTTGCGCATGAACTCTTAACCCCTAGACCACTGAGCCGTCATTCAAAGATGTTAATGTCTAATGTCGATCAATCCATGGTCTTGAGCAACCCCATCCACTGTCTTCGGTGAGCACTACTTCACAACCGAACAGAGTTGAACTTCACTGGTCAGGACTTCTCACTAGAACTCGAAGAAGCTTCCTCATGGAGCTAGTCATTTGCGAGCATATGAAAGTTACATTTAACAGAAAAAAAACACCACAGTATATTGCTTTTTTCTTCTTAAGTTGAATTTAATTCATGACATGAGCAAATTCTATTTTTACGTTCATTCTTATTTGGAATTTAAAAGTTATTCAAAGTGTTTCTCACTATGAAACGAGTAGTAAAGTATATTAGAAATTGTTGATTAGTAATAGCATTACGGGGTTGTGAAGATTGTTAAGTTACACATTTTTGAAACCATGAACCGATCAATGTTAGACCACCATTAGAAACCTGGAAGCACTGGACGGCCGTTTCGTCCTGGTATGGGACTCCTCAGCAGTGCGCATCCACGACTCCTGCACCTCGCAGGATCCGAACCCAGGACCTTCGGTGTAGTGCGCGAACGCCCTAACCGATAGACCAATGAGCCGGTATCGAACGGTGTTAATGTCTAACTTGATGTGTAACTTAACAATCTTCACAACCCCGTAATGCAAATTACCTGTGCTCACTAGTGACTAGCTTCGTGAGGAATCTTCTCCGAGTTCTAGTGGGAAGACGTGACCAGTGAAGTTCAACCTGTTCGGGTGTAGACAGTAACTACCGAAGACTGTGTATGAGGTTGCGCAACTCCGTGAATTTGATCAAGTTAGACATTAACACCGTTAGATACCGGCTCATTGGTCTATCGGTTAGGGCGTTCGCGCACTACACCGAAGGTCCTGGGTTCGAATCCTGCGAGGTGCAGGAGTCGTGGATGCGCACTGCTGAGGAGTCCCATACCAGGACGAAACGGCCGTCCAGTGCTTCCAGGTTTCTAATGGTGGTCTAACATTGATCGGTTCATGATTAGTAATAGGTATGATAGTTTCTATACTATGACCTATTATCCAATACAGCTGACATGTACATTCGTACCGTTTGACAAAAATAAGTAAACAAAAAGAAAATACTATGTTTAACTGAGAAGATCCAAAAACCAAGGGTCAGATGAAAGTATTCATATCTCATGTAGATTTTTTAGGTGCGCAGACTGATTAAAACAAGAGCATGTAAGTGAAAATCTCTACCATGAATGAAATTCACTAACTCACTCACTATAACTTGCACAGAGTTAACTATGGTTAATAACCATAGCCTTGCTGTATCATTGTTGTAACATTAGTTTTAAGATATTTTTCTTCCTTGTATTACTACAAGGGAACTAAATGGGTGATTGAGATTATATAAACGCTGGATTGGTTTATTCTTACGCCGATAATAGATCACGTTACATCAGATAGACAGCCAGAGTAAGCAATTGACAATATTTAATTCCACAGAGTTACAAGCCGTCATTCTCACTGAGTCCAAAGTAGAAATCAATAACAGTAGAACAAACCGCACATTTAATAGCCAGTAGGTAGGCTGCGCTTTGCTTGTTCCCATTCGATGACCAATCAAATTTTGAATTTCATTAGTACATATCAGTCCCATGAACTGAACATAATATCATTTTACTCTTATAAAAATGGACAGTAGACAGAAAGCATGAGATGGTGGTTTATTTAACTACAGAGTTTGCTTATTAGCGTAGATTTATGACAACTTGTAATGGTATATAAATTGTTCTGAAGTTTTAAATAGTGTATGAACTAAATGATAAAACTTCAAAAATCTGTCATTCTGACCAGTGGATTATTATCGCTTTTTTGAATAAAGTGTATTGATTCACTTGACCAAGTTCGTGCTCTTTAATAAAACTCATCTTACAAGTAAATGTGTTTTAAAGCGTTTTTTTGCCCATAAGATTGAGTGTAGAATAGCTATAAGGTAACTCACTCGTAGTACCAAGTAAATCTAATCATAAGCGGCTAATCCGAACGTATATTGGCTTTAAAACGTTCTCTCCATTCATTTTCCGTACAGATCATAAGAGTTGGGATAAAACTTCTTAGCTGGATACCATTTGAAGGTCACCTGGCTTTTCCGGAATAGAGATGGTTCTGTATGCGAATATAAAACTATGTACCAAGTAGATATCTGTCAGAAATTTCCAACCACAGACTGATCTAATTCAGTATGAGTAGCGAAATAGATGAATTTTTTCAACAGTTGTCAGTTATTTAGAGCTCTGAGCATTCAGTAAAAATCCATATAAGCAGGCAACTCAAACGATTCTAGTTTCAGTTAGGCTAAGTCAACTTACTACTGGATAACTCTGGCCCTGATCCTGAGAAAAGATATTGGTGTGACTCTGCTGGTAAAAAGTGCAAACTAATTATCGAACAAAACAACGTCTCCAAAAAGTCGCTACATGCAATAATTATGATCTGTCATACACGAATTTAATTGTTTTTACAAAAAAACATTGTCAACATTTCTGTTATCTATTTAGGGTATAACAAGTCAACGAGGTTTGTACGGATCCGATGCTTATCCAACATGGTCAACATTACGTGATATATTATTTGATTTAAATCAAAATCTTAAACAAACCAAACCTGATATTCAACCAGAAATCATAAAAATATTTGAACGTATGCTTTTAGTGACGCATTATTATGCTATTCGTTCAGCTTTATTATCAACACAACAAGATGTTAAAGAGGTAAGTTTCACATACTACTTATTAGTGTTGATATGCAAGCAAATAACTTTAACATTGGAGCACATTTTTTTTCAGTATCAGCTGTTTTCGTGATTGGTGAATTGTAAATGATTACTTTTAAAAAATTGGTTAATATTATTTGAAATTTACTATAACCTTCATTGCAGTTCGTTTAAAAAGTAATGAATATTCAAAGAAATTTTTAAATTGTTAGCTAAGATCAGTTTACAATGTCAACTGTGAATTGAATACAATCACTACAAATCCTCTTCACTAATAACAATCATCGACTCATTACTGACTAGATTCAAAATGTAACTCCTATAGTCCTAGTGAGAAGCCACAGCCAATGGAGATCAGTCTGTATCAGATATGAAACACGTATCCACCACAGGCAAGGAATGAAAATTGTGTAAAATCATGGATTGATTAATGTTGGACAATGTTGGATGCCGGATCACTTGTCAACAAGTTAAGAGTTCATGTACAGGCTTGAAGGCCTTAAGTTCGATTCCCACCTAAGGAGATCATGGATGTGCAATGTTGAGCATTCTCGTAGTAAAATAAAACAGCCTTCTGATGCTTCCACGTTTCCAATAGTGGCCTAATAAAAGACTAGTCCGTAGCTTCAAGTGTGAAAATAATACAATCTACACAAATTCCCTTTACTAATTTTAGTGGTATATTTTGAAAAAAAGCTGATTTATGATGACTAGATATACTGATAGAAATCACTGACCATTACTGACAGTCAAAGAGGTGACTTATTCCGAAAATTCGCCCACTGACAGTAAACAACAACCTGAGACATCGTCGTTTATTCGTCTTCAAGCCCCTTCTAACCTAGTAGTCTATGAAAAGTGGCAGAAAGAAGGTAGGATCTTGATTACTTTAAATGAATTATTCTTACTTGCAACGGCCGAACTCCGCTTTTCACGACTTTTCACTACAACTGTATGAATCCCTTGATGAAAGTAGTAACTAGTGAGCTTGCAGACCGTTCGGGGATACTCCCGGTCCCAAGCCCAGATAAAGGAGGAGGGTTGGCTACCCCATACCGTGAAAAACCAACTCGCTAAAAAAAATGCTACCAACTAAAAATAATTCAAACCATATTAACTCTGCTCTGGGAGTTAGGAGAAGAATTATGAGGTCTCATGATGAAAGCCGAGTTCGTTCGGGGGTCATGATTCCGATGCCCCTTCTGAAAACCAGAGTCCTTACACTGTAGGCAACCTAGGCAACCGCCCTCATACCCATAAAAGCACGCGAGACCGAATCGGTCAGAATCACATCCTTTCTACACCTTTAAATAACTCTCTTATCTCCACAACCAACCCATCTTTGTCACCTCGCACCACTGAAGCAAACGGTTTGAGCTCATGAACATTATTCCTGGTCTCCTGAAAACCCGCTCTTAACTACATATTGGAGCTTTTAATGTTCGAACCCTGTGCCGAATAGGGCGACAGGCTTCATTAGCTATAACTTTGGAATCCGATGTTGCGACTCCGAAATGCCCATACAAGATTCTAGTAAAATCAGTAATTTGATTTCACCTTGTGCAGATAGAGACACAACACGGTATAATCTTTGTGTTTCTGGAAGCCTTTCTTCTGCTCTCTGTGGCCTCGCTGCTGTAGGCATAGTAATAAGTCCTAGGGCAGAACTAGCTCTCTTTGTTTGGATCCCGGTAGACAGTCGCTTATGCGTTGTCCGACTGAACGGGAAGGTACGAACGCGGAAACATAGAGACACTCGCCGCGACCTCTTCGTCTTATCTGCCTGCGCTCCCGCTGACTGCACTTCAGACGAGGGGAAAGATGAGTTTTACAGAAAGCTTTCTCATTACCTCCAGCAGCAGCAGCTATGCTCAGATAACCGCCTATTCCTAACAAACACTTACTTTAAGCATAAGGTAAAACTCCTTTTGACCTGGCGATCCCCAAAGTCGACTCAAAGATGGACACAACTAGATCACACTGCTATAAGCCATCGGTAAAGAGGCTCTGTTGAAGGCTGCCGCTCATTCTGAAGCACTTGTTTAGACTGTGACCAAGAAAAATATCGCAAAGAAACCTGTTAGGGCTCTACTTAATGATAGTAAAGCTTAGAATTTATTTCAGGAACAACTAGAAAAACAGTTAGGCAGCCGTATATTACGTGACGCCAACCTGGGGGCTGCTTGGAATGATATCAAAAAGGATGTGGAAACAGTAGTGATATCTTCTAGTAAGGTAAACCATATGTTTAGGTATAAGCCGTGGATTTCAGTAGCATTTAAGGAACTGATGGAAACTCGAAAGCTCATACCTCCTGACGCTGAGCACGTTGAGGAGCGGAGTCAGATCTGGCGCATGCTGATAAAAAGCCTTCAAAATGAACGTTAACAGCGGGGGTAGCGAAAGCAAGGGAGATGGAAAAGGCAAAGGCGATGGGCAGCAGTAGGCAACTGTTCAGACTTATCAAGGAAACTGGTATTAGGAACCCTAATGTGAGTGCGACTATTTCGGAAAATGATGGTCTCATTATCCATTCTCAATCCAGGAGACTGGATCGATGGGCAGAACACTTTAGGGATCAGTTCAACTGGCCTAGAGCCACTCTTCAGTTACCCACGATCTCCAGTCATCCTGAATGGCAAATAGACGTAAGTCCCTCTAGTCTTTATGAAGTTGAGAAAGCGATAGGAAATCTGAAGCGAGGGCGAGCACCGAGTCCTGATAGATTGACCCCTGAGATTTTTAAGGATGGTGGTCCAGTTTTATCAGCCAGATTGACTTGTGGTGCTGTGTTGCGAACTACTTATAAGTAGTATATAGCGTGAGTGTCAACGTAAAGTCTGGTAGCATAATATGGGGGGAAGATCAAGAAAGGAAGAGTCAGAAAACAATGGAATTTGTATGAAACGCATGAAGAGTGACAATGAATTGATGTTTGGCAACAGGAACAGTCCAGTTCCATAGGATGAACTGATCTTTTGCAAATGAACGATTTACGATATGGTTTTCCGATTTTACTGACTAACTCTGTAATTTTCGTTAAATACAATTCGGTTGCCCCCACCTGTGTTCTCATTCACAACATTTGGTGTCGCTGCCCGCTCGAAGGAAGGGGCTCCCGTGGTCGAAGGAGTTGCAGGACGGAGATTGGCGGAGCTTCCTGGAGGAGTTGGGGGCCACGGTGGAGCTGGTGGGGGCTTGGGGCGGAGTTGACGGTGCTGGGGACGCTGTGGGGAGGTGAGGCGAAGGCGGTGCACGACAGCCTGGACGGTGCCACCAAGGAGACGGCGTGGGAGACAGTCACCGGGCGGCTGATAATGGGGTTCGACAGCCCAGCGGACAGGGAGGAGGCGCCGCAGAGGTTCCGGTTGGCGCGGCTGTCGGCCGATGGTGACCTGTTGGTGCTTGCTGTGGAGCTCACCGGATTGCGCCGTGAGGAGTGGACGGGGCACAGTCTTTGGCGTCGCAATTTATCGAGTGTGTGCCTGCCGCCGTGTTCCAGCATCGGGAACTTGTGGACGCTACACGTTGGATAGATGCCGTATCCATTCCAGACCAGTGATCAAGAACGATGACCGAAGTGGTAATCCGGCATAGTGTAGCGTGTCACGGAATACGGAAGGTGATATTAACTGACCAGGAGCTCTGTTTTGAAGGACCACGACGACAGCTTATTAAAAGGGGGGACGAGTGTGGTGCTGTGTTGCGAACTACTTATAAGTAGTATATAGCGTGAGTGTCAACGTAAAGTCTGGTAGCATAATATGGGGGGAAGATCAAGAAAGGAAGAGTCAGAAAACAATGGAATTTGTATGAAACGCATGAAGAGTGACAATGAATTGATGTTTGGCAACAGGAACAGTCCAGTTCCATAGGATGAACTGATCTTTTGCAAATGAACGATTTACGATATGGTTTTCCGATTTTACTGACTAACTCTGTAATTTTCGTTAAATACAATTCGGTTGCCCCCACCTGTGTTCTCATTCACAACAGACTGAGATCTTAGGTAGAATCTGGGAACTGGACACAATCTCATCCGACTGGTCTCAATTCCTGATTGTTCCAATCTATAAGAAAGGACACAAGTCTTCTTGTGACAATCACAGAGGAATAATTCTAACTAATATAGTATCTAAAATATTGGCCTCAATAATACTTCGACGCTTAACGAAAGCTCGTGAAGAGCAGACTAGAGAAAACTAGTCTGGTCTTCGACCTGGACGTGGCTGTATAGACCACATTTTCACACTACCATAGGTCCTGAAACACAGACACACATTTAGGCGTCCGACAATAGTTGTTTTCCTGGACCTTAAGGCGGCATTTGACTCTTCGGATCGTAAGGTTTTGTGGCATTGTCTGTCATTGAAAGGTGTACCAAATAAGTACATTAACCTTATACAAGCTCTCTACTTGAACACCACTGGTCGAGTGGGATGTCCACTTTCTCCATTCTTGTTTAATTCTATCAGATATGCTCCTAGATATTACCTTATCCTCGTCTGAATTTTCAGGAATAGACCTTCTACCAGGAAAATCGCTTGCTGGCTTAGAATATGCCGATGACATAGTTCTATTTGGTAAAGACACTGACAAAATTCAGTCTTCTGACTACCCTCAGCAACAATGCAAGCATGTTCGGGATGAGGTTTTCCCCCTCGAAATGCAAAATGTTGCTTCAAGATTGTGTTGCATCGGCACCTGAACTAGTGATAAGGAGTGAAGTGGTTGGGCGTGTAGACTGCTTCACTTATCTGGGAAGTCTCATCAGTGCTGATAGCTTGGTGACTGACGAAATCTCAGCACGGATACACAAAGTTCGATTGGCTTTTGCCAACCTACGTCACTTATGGCGCAGGAGAGATATCTGTCCGCTGACCAAAGGACGAGTGTACTGAGCGGTAGTTTGCTCCGTCCTACTTTATGGCTGTGAAACATGGCCAGTGAGAGTAGAAGATATTCGTAGGTTACTGGTTTTCGATCATAGGTACCTCTGAAGTATTGCTCGAGAATCGTGGGACAGCCGAGTAAGCAATGCTGTTGTTAGGAAACGGGTGCTAGGTAAGGATGGCAGTTCACTAGATGAAGTAATGAAACGTCATCAGTTGAGGTGGTTAGGATATGTATTACGCATGCCTGTCCACCGACTGCCTCGTTGACCCATGTTTTGCGATGTAGGAATAGGTCGGACGAAGGTTAGGGGTGGCGAAACCAAAACATGGCAGCAATCCATGAAGTCATTGACAAGTGGACTGAGTCATGTCGGTAGGTGTCGACTACCTGGTCGGGGTCCGCGAGATGATAATAATCGATGGTTATAGACCTTGAATGACATGGCTCAAAACCGTTTGCAATAGCGCAGGTTCATTTACTCTTTGTGTTTTATGAAATTCTAACCTTCTGAATTGATCATCACCTCTATCTTTCTGTTCCTAAATTCACCTCACTGAATTATACATCTTGGAAGCCTAATCTCTCCGATTACTTCTAGTACTTTTACTACCTCTACTACTGTTTGATTTGAAGTGACAATTGCATCTCTTAGCTAATGTGGTATGGCAACTTGAACTGATGTACTTACGTACGAAGTTCTATGTTGTTGTTGACTGACTGACTGACTGATAATTATTGGCATACGGTTGTGAAGATGGTTAAACTTCGTTGTAATCATGAAATGATCAGTGCCAGACTACCATTGAAAACCTGGAGGCACTGTATAGCTTAGTATGAGAACATTCAGCAGTGAGCATCTACGACCTACATGTAGAAGTAGCACCACGGACTTTTGACCTCACAACCTTTCTTACTTTCAGTAATTACTATTAATGGATCTTAGTCATGATACCATTTCTAATCCAGAGTTGATATAATTAGGAGATTAAATGAGAACAGTATCTGTGTTCATATAATCTTGAGGAATTTATTGTTTTTGTCCTAATAAAGTAGCCTTTTTAGAAAGCAACAGTTTTCATAGTCTTCAGTCAGAAAATCGCAAACAATGTCCAACCTGGTGTATTTGTCCATATATTCAAATTTTTATGCCACAACATCACAGCGAGATAAGATCAGTGAGGTGAATACCAAGTAGTTGAAGAAGTTGTTATTAGAGGTAGTGTTAACGAACGAAGACTACAAGACCAGATGGAATGACAGCATACTTAGAGAAAACACAGTTTACTAACAAATGTGTAAACCTTGTCTTTAGACTTCGATTTACAAAACAAGCAAATTATCCGTTGTCTTCTTTCATATACCTTTTGGTCTTCAAAACACTTTGAGCCATACATTCTGAGCCGACACACTTCTCTCTGGTAGTAACTAGAGGGTGTCACTCTGCTGCATAGTACATAGGACGCACGTAGCGAGTGGTATCCACCAGAGTAGTAGAAATACTTAGCTGCAGTGAGGATGATTTGAGAAGACAGAATCAATTGCTGCAATTTAAGGCAATGTATGGTTTCGAAATGCAGAATCGATGTATAGATATAGCGTAAATAGATCTGTGCTGTTGTAACGATCTTGAGTCATGTCATGCAAAATCTCTTACTATTGGTCAGGAAAACCGCTTGAATCCCATGTAGATGGTCTGCGTACACCGACTCAGTGTAGACCAACTTTGAATTTTCTACTTTGGCTAACCTCGGCTTTGTACTGACCTACTCCTACACCATATAATATTGTGTATTGAAGTACGTGGTGGATGGACATACGTAGTACATGTCCTGATCTTCTCAGTCAAAAAGATTCACTAACTTGTCAATCTATTTGCCATCATTACCTAGTACTGCTGGCGTAAGTTCAGAACCACTAACTACCTGGCCTCAACATGCACATGCACAATTTTGATGTGATGTGTGATGAACTTCTAGTAAGCTATGAATATTCTTGTTTTTAAGAGGACACATTTCCCTGTCAAAAATACAGAAACGAATAAACTGCTCTCAGTATAACTTAACTGGTAAACTGAAATCTCTACTAATCTGTGGTCAGGAGTCCGACCTTCTTCATCAAACCATGTTATTGTTGAACTGTTTTTCTTCTTCTTACAAATTCCAACTTTCTAACCAAGCTTTTTTCGTTTTCAGATCGTTGCACAGATCAGTGTATCACTTCTTCGGCATTCCGATATATTACCAGCTGATAAAGTTTTCTACGAGGCTGGTATTGATTGTCGTCAAATTGGATGGGATAATATGGCTTTTGTATTTTTAAATCGTTATTTAGATTTAGTTGAAGCTATAGAAGATCCAGATAATTCGTCCAATTCTTTAGACAGTACAGATTTTCAAGTGAGTGGTGTGTGTGTGTGTGTGCAGTGTACTGCTGTATATGCTTTCATGTAGAGTTTTCGGTTAAATTAAATGTCCGAACTGAGTCCATGTACAATGTTTTCGAATAACTTATGTCGTCATGTGTAATAACTGAAACAAAAATCTAATTTGCATATTGTGGCTATAAAAGCTGACAGACATCGATTAGCTAATATAAGGGAAGTTAGTGAATTTGAATATGATTAATATTAGTCATGATTTAGATGATTTCATATAAATTTGTCGATAACATTTCCTGAAGCATGTTTAACGCAATGTTGACACCTAAAACAGTGGATGGCCACAAACAACCAGTGTATCCGGAGCTTCAACTTAGGTGCTAAAGTGTGTTGAATCATACATACTATGGGGAATATCCCCAGACCCGGGATTATCCCGAAGAGACTGGGTTTGGTTTTGTACAAAATACACGGAGCGTTTGTAACGTGGATCGGTCATATCCAATTGAGTTAGTCGTTGATATTCAAGTGATGGGAAATTCCAAGGACTCTATAAAAGATAACGGGAATTTCGGTTAAGGAAAGCACCAAAAACGTTGGAACGACTGAAGAAACTAGTAGTCAACCCCTGAGCCGATCCAAACCAAAGGTCCTATTTTTATTTAAAAAAAGGACGGCATTAGGGATCCCCAAAACATCCCTTAGAAAGGTCTTAAGACACCCACAATTGTTGGGAAACGCGTTATCCAACTGGCATTAAATAAAACCTTCGCAGGAACATTTGGAAAATACAGAATCACGCACCACCATTCTGACTGAATATTCCAGATTTCTAATGCTGGTCTCACATTGATCGGTTCATGGTTTTAATAATTTGAGTCATTTGAATTGTTATCAATATACGTCACTATTTTATGTTTCACTGTTTCCGATAAGCTGTTACTGAACTCGATGAAGTCAATAAACTTCGAGAGTTATTTTTTCTTAACAAATTTCATTTTCGAAATTGAGCATATAGAGATAGATGAATATAATTTGTAAAAGTGAGTTAATCGGCCGAAAATCATTTCAAGGCCTATGGATGGTCGATAACACGAATAAATGTTTTTCTTTGTAAACTTTTTCATTCACAAATACCTAAATATTTTATAATCGGCCAGCATTATCGCTTCGTATGTGTTCTGTTGACTTTTAACATGTTTAAAATAAGGGCCTTTTGCAAAAACCCACTTTAGATTCATAAATTTCAGACACTCATTGACGTAAGCAGACAAGGAGTATTGTGTAATTGGGTGATGTCAAACAAGCCCGTTAAGTTTAATGTAGACATACTGAACATGGAAGAAACAAGCAAATGTATAGACACATATGTACTGCCATAGACCTATGCGGAAAGCCACATATGTAAATAATAGAATAGTTCATTTGTTTGAACGTCAGAATCAATCTCGTAGCTGAGGAGTAAGAAAATAGAAGCTGTCACACTTTTAGTGTTTTAAAGCTGTTTGACCAACAATATAGTGTTCACAAGCATTTCAATGAATTTCATTTTTCTGTTGCCTTTCATATCATAAATTATTCATCCAGGGTACTGATATACCTATGGAAGTTCCTATACCAGAACATCTTTATACAACTAACAAAGAACACGAAGCTATACGTGAATGGATATTAGCCATATCAATGGATCATAAACTTGATCAAACATTACCAAAAGATGAAAGAGGTGTGTATGTAGCATCATTGAATTCACCTACCACTGGTCTCTCTGCATTACCATGTATCATTTCAGGTTATCCTGTGCTTAGAAATGGTATTATATTTGAACCATCTAAAAGAGTTGCGATTAAAACTAATTGGAATAAATTTTTGTATATAACAAAAATGAGTCGTACAATGGAATGTTCCAATGTGAAAGAATTCATTCAACAATGGTCTGGTACGCCTACATTCAATGAAATCTAATCAATGATGATATAAATTATATTCAAATTTTCCTCCTTCAGACAAAACATACTATGCGCACATAATTTCATCTTTGGGATTTTTTTCCATTTCACAAACTTTATACACTACTTTGTACATTATTATTTGATGAATATTGTGTGATATCTATTGATTGATATTCCCTTTTATGTAAGCTATTTTCGAATAATGACTTTGTCTATGGTCACTGTTATATGAACGTATAAATTACAAAATTAGATAGAAAATAAATACAGATTTGTATAACTATTATTGGTTGTTTCATTTTTAATCTACTGGACTGTTGTAGTAAACAAAGTTTGAATTTATTGGTTAACTGCGAAATTAATTTATGAATGCAAAAATTTACGTTAGATTGGTTGTATTTTTATGATAGATAGGTAGATAGATAGATTGGGTTCGAATCCTGCGGGGTGCAGGAGTCGTGGATGCGCACTGCTGAGGAGTCAGTCCCATACCAGGACGAAACGGCCATCTTTCAGTGCTTCCAGGCTTCTAATGGTGGTCTAACATTGATCGATTCATGGTTTCAAAAATTTGTAACTTAACAATCTTCACAACCCCGTAATGCAAATAGTGTTTTGCTTTGGAGATTTTCTGATTCAAATGAAAAGATCGATTACTTCTGGTTTGTCATTTCTGCTTGTTGTCCCACTGATTTCATTTTCAATGGAATACACAATGACTTAAACATGAAACGATGACATTCAGGAAGTCAGGCATTCTTACAATGTAGTTCTGGCAAGAGGTAAATTTAACGCTCAATTCGGCGAGCTAAATGAAACTGGGAAACACTTACTTGTTTTATGGCGGCCCAGGAAAAGCCTACGGATAACGGTGACTATCTACTGTAATCAGGTTTACAAATAAATCATATCACCATCAAACTTTGCTTTAGAGGCTCAACAGAAGACTGGCCTTTCTTTTTCAGCGCAAGTCTGTAGTTCAATTAGCTGTGGTGAATAAGATACTGCTTGCAGTTTGTGAATATTGGACGTGTCCCAATCTGGTCTCGATCACTAACTGTTCCACTTCAGAAGGAAGTATAGAAATTCTCTGTTGATAACTACAAATCCGTCAATTTGATCAAGTGGCTAAAACAGTGTTTATGATCACCTGACGCTTAACTAGATCTGATAGAAAGCGAATTTAGGAGAAGTAGGTTGGTTTCAGACGTGAACGTGGATGTACTGACAAAATGTTCACTTTTGTCAAGTTTTAGAACACAGACCTAGTTACCGATGAAAAACTACAGTTCCATTTTTAGACCGTCGGTTTCTTTAACGTCGTCCAGTGTCCTGCCTTCTATTAAAGTTCGTAGTACATGTGAATGGTGTGATTGATGAATGATCATACTGAAGGTAGTAACGGATGTCCACCACCATGCTGAAAATTTTACCTTGCATGATTATGCTTTGCTTACTCACCAACCATAGCCTTTTATGTTTTTCATAAAGAATATTGAATGTGTTGACTCATTTCCCTTTTCCTTCAGTTATTATTCAGCGTATATTTTATATCGCTCGTTTTACTCTCCAACATTAAATGTGTTAATTTATCTCTTAGAAGCAGATAAACTTTATCAAGCCAAATAGATAACTTTTTCTGACTTTGATCTAGCCGAGATTTTGTGTTCGACCGCCTAAGAGTTAGCTTAGAATTCCTGAAAGTATCCTATTATAAAAAAATACACACCAGACTAGAATGAGACTAGAATTTATGCAAAACCAATTTTAAGGAAATCAAGTCTCAGTTTTTGGGACGAATCCCATTAATCCGTATGACCAAATAGCATCTAGGCGCTTGGAGCTGATATCACAGTACTTGAAAAAATGCCAATTTGAATTTCTGGCCCATACTTTAAAATTCTAATCTTAATTAATCACATTGATTTATGACCCACTTTCGACCCCAGTGGGTACGCGAATTTGAACAAGGTCACTTTAGTGTCGTTCAAAAGTCATCCATAAACTAGTCTCACTGCCAACAGATTCGTCACAATGGAACCACATAGTTCAAAGGAAACAAAACGCATGATTTTTCAGTTGTTTTTTGTACTTTGACCAACATGAATTAAACGGTGTGCAGCTTGAAAAGTATACGTTTCCTGTTTTTAATATTATCATAAACGACATGAATTTAAATGAAGCGAAAGATGGTTTTCTCATGGTTACATGAGACGTAATTGATAGGCACATGTAAAATGACGAAACGCAAGAAAAGATTGCACCTTGTGGCTACCTATACCCTTTGGGTCGTATCTGTCCGAGTACGGTTATAAAATACGCTCTTAGTACACGTTTAGAATGTGAAAATCCAGAATATGCGTTTATTTTAATGTTAGACAATACAGCCAAACTGGATTAGAGAGAGAGCTGTTTTATTTCTTGATGAAACCAAGCGCTATCGGTCTACTTTTCAGTCATTTCTGAACAAATAACCTCTGAGTAATTTATAACTTATATCAGTGGCTGCGACTGAAAATATTAATGGCCATTTAGTCTCTGTCCTTGTCTTTTTTGTAGTAACGCATATTACTTTTTATAAATAAGTAGTTAGAGATATTCATTAACATTTCCGTGTTGGCGTTGCGTCGAATGATTTATCCAATTCGCTTACACTTCTCTTTCGATGTTTTTGATAAGCTATTCTGCATGAAAAATCATTTTTTTCGATTGTTCATTGTTTGGTTCCCTAGTGGAAATCACTTTCTAAAAGTTTATTCATCGCGTACGACCTCATTGTTTTCAAAAAATATAACAAATGTTGACAATTATGTTTGAAAAAGTTGTATTGCACTATTGTTTTTCCGATGTACTTGGTTCAAGTACCTCATTTTCCTCTAATTATACTATTTTAAATTTACCGAAACTCACAAACCTCACAATTGGAGGTGTATACTTCTACTGTTCACACTATCTTTTGTGATATAATGACACACTGAGGAAAACCTCATTATTTTATTCTAAGATATCAAATATAACTAGGTTTTTGAGTTAAAATATCGACCAAATAATGTACTAAACTTTGTCAAGAATTCGCATGCTTGCTGTGAAGTATGTAGAAAGTAGCTACAAATCTTGTTAGGATCCTCCTGGGTACGCACTGAGTAAAAAATTCGTGAGAAAAAGTACATTTCAAAAGTGATACAAAGATATAAATAATTTTATTGGCCAAATTGTTCAACATTATGTATTAGTTATTGTTAAATTAGAAAAAAAACATGCATTTTCATTGATTCAAAGATTTTGGTATGGTTGACTGTACAACTGTTCTAACTATTTGTTTATCATACACATATCCTCTCATTTTTTCTGCTAAATAGAAAAGCACCAAACCGATTGATAAATATTGAACCCATGCAAATTTGATCGTATACCAAAATCCTGGATTAACACTATAAATGCAACATTAATAATGATAATAATAAATTATACAAATAATTAAAAATGCATTCACTTATAGTGATCTGTTATGTATAATAAAGTAGGAGAAATTGAATGGTTTAATACACACAGCCATCAGTCAATAAGTCATATACAACAATACTTATTAGCCAAAGTCTTCCTTTACTTACTTACTTACCTACTCCTGTTACCCCCAATGGAGCATAGGCCGCCGCCCAGTTTTGTCCAACCAACTCTGTCCTGGGAAAATCTTCCTATGCTAAGTTTAAATAATGCAAACTTTGTGAAATGTTCCTTTTTTGTTCATTCGGTTCTGATTGATTGATAGTTTCAAACAGTTATTCACAGTCTTAATCACCTTGATCAGATTATTGAACAGACATGTAGCATGACTAATTCTGTACACTGGAGAGTGAATTCTCCTGGACATAATTATTACCTTCTGTCACTTAAGTTACTTGTTAACTTTTAATTGTTTAAAATAAATCCAAGTCAATCACACGGTGTAATTCTTCCACTTAACATTTGGTGCATATCACAACTGAAACTTCTTATTAGGCATCTTACATATATGAATCACGAATGAGCTGTTTATCTATCTTATATTCATAAGTATTAACAAGAGTTAAATCTAGTTGAATAAACTTTCTGTAAAACAGGTTTCAAACAAATGCATAATGGAAAAGTTCGTTGAGATTTACAACTAAGTAGATAGATTTGCATGATGAAAATTTTTCCCTACGCTGAATTATTTATTAGCTAGTAGTGTGCTATTCTTTTAGGCCACATCGTTAGGATAGATTTGAACTGGTAGTTACATTCAATATTTAAACACTCAGCATGAGATTAGTTGATTGATTAAGATAGATTGGCTCTAACCAAAACAAAATCTATGCTTTTGATTTCACTAATTAACACATATGAGTATTAATTTTAAGCTGTTTTAAAATACTAAGAAATATCAAAAATTAATGGGTTAATAAGATTGAAAATGCTTAAAATGTAAAATTATGAAAATTTTGAAATAATTGTGAAGGATAGAAGCTACAGGTATGAGACGATATATTATTTTGAAGAGATTATTTCTGAAGCATCGACTTATATTTTGCATCATCTTATTACATAATTGATCAAGAAATCAGGTACTTCTGTAAAACTTTTGATCGAAAAATATGTCTACATATATGTGTGCTTCATTAAACTCTAATGACTCAGGATACTTAGTGAAGTTGCCATATATAAAGCTAACTGGAGTCTTCATATCACCAACTCACTTAATGAGAAGAAATATCGGCCTAGTAACACAGGTTAATTTGGATTGAAAATTGTCACTCAATCAAATGAAAACAAAACCTTCAAAAAAAGATACATTATTTTAACGAACAACATTTTGATATGCTGTGGATAAGGGAAATTTACTAAAGAGTCAAACGTGAAAGGGAATGAGAATAAGATTAATAAGCAGAAGTAAAAATTCACATAGTGTAAAATGGGGGAAGATAAATGTACCTAATGAAATGTGGCTGATAGATATCATGAACCATCGATCTTTGGCATAAAATAATAGCAATAGGAATCACTATGCACCGCGAATAGATTAAACAGAGACTATCAGTTATCAGTAACATTGTCCATTGGGTAGCTTAAATTAATAAAGTCTATCGCATTTCAGTTTCTAGTTGGGCGTATCATAAATAATCGGATCGGGACATAGAACAATGAAAAATTTGAATTTTGGTACTTTGAATATTTTTAATTTGCTATTTAAACATTTATTTCATTTATCATAAGAATATTGTTTAAATCATCAAATATTTCCACACATCCTAGCATAATTTTCTGCTGGTATGTTAATGGCTGTCTCTCACACACAGCCTAGTTTTGGCTTTTTTGTGTTCAGTTGTATAGTTTAGTTGCGAAACGGCTTGCGGCTCAAATTAGCGAAAAATAAGCGGTTATTTTGCATTCCCGTCAATCAATCCGGCTTACATTTAAGAATATTTATATACATTCATGAGTAATATGGTCAGTTCAATCAACTAGCTTATTGTGTGGTCGAGTATGGCATTCATTGAAACGCGTTTTAAACAAAGAAATCATGTATCAAACGCTTTAAGCAGTCTGTTGTTGTGTTCAAAATATTAAAGATCTGAAGAAAATATACTACCCGCATACTCCCATTAAATAACTGCTTTTAGATGAAAAATCAATCTCTAAAACTCAAGATGAACTAAGTAGTAAATAACTACGACCAATGAGTTGATCGATCATTGACCAAAAAAAAGTTAGAGGCGTAGAGTTTCACCACAAACAAACAGATAGATGTAAAATGATTATGAACAAGCAGACACAGTATTAAAAGCTCTAACTCATATGATCTCATTCACTTAATATATCAATTTAAACTCAAATTTAAAGTTTGGTAAACATGCTGAGGTTGTAAAGTCTACGGTGAAAAGACGTTGAAAATAGTTTTGCATTCATTCTTAAAATTAACTTTGAGTGGTGTTGTTTTTCAAAGTTTGATGTGTTTTGATGTGCTTTGCCAAAGAAAGAGACTATTACATGGTAAATTATGTGGCGTTGAGATGTTTCTATGCGGAGTTAAGAAAAAAATTTCTGTTACTCAATTTATACGAAATTTCGGTTCAGCCTCAAACTACTGGAAGCCGAATTCTCACAAACAGCAACAAATATCCAGTTTAACTAAAGTAATTGATCAGATTTGCCTATCAGGTATCAAGTCGAGATTGTGTTATTCCTTAGCATTGCTCTTCAAAGGGATGTTTTTAAGTTTTATATTTTTACAAAAAGACATATTCTTAGATCTCCTGAACAAGTCCAAGTTCATCTAAATAACTAATTTTCCAGGACCCTATAGACACAAGTCATACTACACTTGTGTGAGCTAGTTACACTAGACGTTGAAATTCAAACATCATATTGAGAAGGCCAGTGTTCAAGTTATTACTCTTGTGGCGGTTTAGTGTTCCTGATTAGAAATGTGTTACGGACCGAAACGTTGACAACTCCTGAATATCCGTGACATCTTCAAGTTTAAGGGATTTTTTTCAACAGTATATTTTGCACATTTCAAATCTTAGGGATCGGATACACGTCACACTCACCTGGTCCTTAGAGAGGAGAAGTGCACCGAGAGTTCTATGTTAAATGTACCTGAATGACTTTGACGCATCATAGGTACACTTACTCTATCCTCAAGTAAGAAGTATCCTGTAAAATAAAAAGCCTTATCTAATGGACAACTTACCGCCCATCGAGATATTTGAATAGAAATCGAAGATTTCTTTTGAAGTTGTTTCAGTCTTATAATAAATTCCAGCCTACTTCATTATCTCATTACAATATACGAGCTCACTTGTTTTGAATTGGTTAAGTATTTCCGAATGCATAATAGATCCCCAGAATATAGAAACGCGTTGGGAGGCGTTCGAAAAGATTTGTTTATAATTATTGGAACCCGGTTTTGTCTATTGTAAAAACGCTGTAAAAGTATTAGCTGAGATAAATATTTTATTCTTGTACCCACGAAATCATATCAACTAGCAATACAGCTGTCAGACTAATTACTTTTTCTGAAGACGAAATAGGAAACTCAACAACAATATTAAGGGCATCTTCCTCTTTAAGATTTCTATTTTTAGAATTGTAGAAACTGATTCGAGGTAGCCTGAGCGAAGACTTCATTAAACGATTTGTTCCATCATGATTTATATTTGTGTAATACAAAAAACCGTCGCTCATTTGAAGAAATAGTAGTAAGTCTCCGTTGAATAGTATCGTGGGTTTCTCCGGAAAAGCATATGAATCAAAGTACATGTCTAAATAAATGGTTGTGAAACACTAATAATTTGAAAAAACTGCTTACAACCAGTTATATATGAGATGATCCATGGCACTATCGTTATGGTTAGAATTACAAAAGAATCGAAAACGAATGCTAATGATGATACCCTGGCGTAATAACGTCGTAACTCATACAACTTGTAGATTTTCATCTTTCCACTATAACATAATACATAGAAACAATTTTGATGATGCGTTTAAACAATGTTTCAATCCAATATACAAAATTTATTGTAATATATTTTACACAAGCTTAATTGAACTAAATAACTTGTTCATGCCAGATCATTTTTCAGGTTTTAAGTCACGAATGTCCAATAAACGGCAGTTTGACCACTCGACTTCAATAATTCTAGTCAGTCTGCAGAAGTTTGTGAATATGTATGTCTCGAGATTTGAACAGCTGCGGTTGTTTCAGTGCAGTAAGGATCCAGGATACCGGAAGATATCGCGCGAGCAGGCCAGAGATCCTTTAGATAAAATGTGAATAATAATATTGAGGAAATTCTAATGCTTACAAGAATGAGATTTCAAAATTAAGTATTCAAATGGATAGTTTGGTTTTACAGATGACGATATTAGGTTCACTCCTCTTCCTGATATTAATTACGATTTGTTAGATACAGTCGGCTCACCGGCATTGATCTACGCAGAGTATGAGAAGATCTGGAGGTCTATCATGATCGTAGAGGGTTCGACTGATCTTCAAAAAGACCGTACATGCTTTGGGGAATGTACAGTGAAAAGTGGTCTTAAACTAAAACAGCCGAGATATCACACCACGTGTAAAATGTAAGTTAAAGAAAAATAAAAATTTATCAAAACATTTCAAATTTTCTCATCTAAGCATCGATCTGTAACTAATTTTACATCAACCGACGCCGATTAGAATATAACTGCCGTGAAAACTCCTAGAACGATGAGCTTGATAGTATTACTGTATCATTCGTGAAGTTTAGCGGAACCGAATCCCTATCACTATGCTTTATGGCACCTATCCGTCTATGAGAAGAACATCGACTAATACTAACCAGATTCGGAACAGGGATAGGTAGCGATATACACCCATTACTGTGGCCTCAACACTATCAGGAATAGTGGAATATGTTACCGTAAATTTCTAATATTACGAGAGATGGGACTGTTACGGGAGAAATGAAGACATTTGGCTGATTAAAACCTTTATATAAATATCACTAATTTCACTGTGCTCTTTGGGTATATTTGTTTTACTTAACTTATGAACCTGTTTGAATTATTATTTTCTGCCATTTTTGGACTCCTGTTTGTCTTGGTTTGTTCGTTTGCAGTTTTTCGCTCCAGGAACCTACAAAAATGAAGGTAATTGTAATTATTTTAATTATTGTTGTTAGAACAACATTGGTAGTCTATTTGTAATAAACGAACGACATTTTGGTCTATTATTGTGAATTAAGATTAAAGTTTGGTACCTACTTTGGAGTTTCGTTTTGTTGTGAATTTGGGTTCGTGAATTGCAAATAGATCGACACACAGTACTTCACAAAAGGAGGAGGGAGCAAAAAATTGGACGTAACAAGGACATAGGCACATTTGTTCTTGTTTAAGTCTGTTAACGTTCCGTTTTCTAGCTCCGTTAGCGATTATTCATTATGGAATAGAAAGCCCGTGAATAAAGTTCGGAATTTCTAACAGTTGTATGAACGATATTCGATATTATTATCATTGTTATTTAAACGATTGAAATCTATGTGCTGTCCACAGTTTTGTACTAGTGAAGTGAACTTGTTGTAATCCCTGATTAGAAATACTTATGTCACAGTTCTTTCAGCAGTCCCGGCTGTCTCAGATACTAAGGATTATTTGACACTTCCTTCTCAATAGGAACTTGGACACAAACATTGTAAGAAGTCTAATTCCTCTTTTAAAATAGATCCTACAATAAATACTACCAGATTCCACTGAGTGAAATATCCAGTGAACTAAGTGCTGTTAACGCAAAATTTGGCCTGTTCTGATACAAATTCTTACTGTGAAATGAATTTTTCGCCTGCAATATCTTCAAAAGTTATAAATAAGATTATTACTGGTCTTGGGCTTTCTAACGAAAGTCTTCTGAAGCCATTTGGATGCTCTTGTGATGCAAAGGTGACTGTAAATCCTTACAAGTGTCACTTTCAATCAACTTCTGTCAACTGTATGGGATACATGAATGACAAAGTTTTTAATCACGACATGAGTTGCCCAGCTCCATCAACTGAAGCACACTCACCAACGAAAAGATTATGCATTAGTGTCCTGATATTACACAGATATTATCTCTACTTTATGACTTGGTTTCTCGCAAAGAGATGTAATGGGATAACCGGAACGAGAATAGGCTGAGAAACATCCTTTACTTTTTATATAGTAGGAAAACCTTTCTCAGACTATTTTAACCGACTGAGAAATCCATCTTCACTATGGGTGCATCTCCATTGGAACTAGGTGAGGCTTTAGAGCAATTTGGAAACCTACTGTTTTCATTTCGAGATGACTAAGCAAAGTTGATCGAGTAAATTCTTCGACCCAATATGAGGCCTTAGCTGTGGTGCAGACAGTGAGGAGATTGCCCGAATACTTATTTTATGTTAAATTCCATATCGCAACTGACCATCAGGTGTTAAATTATGCTTTAGATATCATTGGTTCGAATTTCAAATGGTTAAAAGTAGTACTGACCAACATTCCTGGCGGAAACTTTACTCGAAAAGCGATGAATCTGATATTTTGTCGGAAAGGGATTCCCAAAGTATTATTAACTGATAATAGGACTGATTTGACAGAATTGGAAACTTATTTCAATATTATATTGTGGACCGACGGCAGTTCAGCTAAACTTATTAAATCTGGCGTACTTCGAATTCATTTAATGAATCAAAAGTATCAAAGAACGGGTAATAAAGATGATCGTGTTCTATGTCATTGAAGAATCTGTAATAAGTTCACTGATGTTTGAGCGATGAAAACGTTTGCCAAAAACTCGAAGTGTAGGACATTTGTTACGTGCATGTTGACACACATAAGGCTCGATAACCCAACAGAATACGCATCATAGCCGACGACTGCGTTAATAGCCCTGGGATTTTTAACGACACCAGTAGTGCTGTTGTAACCAAGACATGAGAAAGCAATAACTTCACGATTTGCATGATGCGAATCTTGAATCATTAGATTTTATTGAACACTATCAGTAATTTCGAATTCAGTATAATTGCAAGCAAATGAAAGATACATGAAGGTAAATTTTGAGACACATAAACCGAAAGTCCAATATACTCGTTGAAAATGGAGTAGACTTCGCTAGGGTAACGAACTTTGTAATGCTGCTTACTTTCGTCCAATAAATAGTACCCAATCTCCAGATTAGAGAACAGGTCGACGATCTAGATGCATACAAAGGACAGAATCATTTATGTGTTGAGGTGGCTTTTTCAACTCTAAGCTTTCGTAACGAGGAAGGACTAGTTTCGAATCAGTAACACAGCAATCAGGAATCAACTCGTCAATGCTGTAAGGCAGATTTTAAATCAGCATGTTTCAGTTGAATTATGTATTAAAGAATGCTCGAAAGAATCATCTAATACAAATACAAATCTGAAACCATACTGAAAGAACAGGAATCGCGATTCAAGGATCCACATGACGCAAACAATTTACACCATGAATGGAAGTCCGCTTCCTAATGTCTCCTTAGAGCACGATCTCGGTTTCATAACCATAGAAAGCCTCTTCACAAGCCCAAACTATATGGGGCACGCAGCCAAAGCAAATACGACTCTTAAATTTATGCACGGACATCTTTGTGTCATCACCCCAGAATTATTCTTAACGTTTGTTTGAGACATATGCACGCCTGCACCTTGAGGTTCACAACGGTGTCCTAACCCTTCTTCTTAAAAAAGATCGAGTGCAGAGACGAGCAAAGAAATGGGTCATAAGGTTGAAAGACGAAACTTGCGCAGTTAGACCCCAGCATTCGGGATCTGATAAGATGGCGATAATAATAAGTAGCAGCTCTCAAGACATTCATCATGCACAGGTTGTCCGCGAGGGCAGTGCGTATTTGAGTATGTGTTTATCAAGTCTCTTATTAGGGCAGCCCACTGAGCAGATTGTGGCATCTAAGCTGAGAGAACACTCCAAGATGCAACTACCATTAATACGTAAACGTGTCCACGGACCAGAATGTTCGCCCACTGATTCTCAGGATTACCTCATGAGGCATGATGGTGATGCTTTTACGAGATGCCAATTTTTGAATGATTCGGTGTAGCTGATATGTTATACCCCATTATCAGATCACATCTGAACCTGCTAAGAAGGAATAATTGCAAGTGTTGCAGCCTGTCTTTATAAGCCTTGTACTTCAACTCTTTCAGGCATCTTCACTTTGGGTCCTGAAAACTAAAGTCTCCTTTTTAGGACAAGTGGCTACGACTACATTTTGATATTCGCTTTTGGCGAAACATAAATGTAGCCAGAGTCTCAATGATAGGTTATTCATAGAAGTTGTGATACAAGCTGATAATACAAAAAGGACGGATGCTCTTGTTTCAGCTTATTGTCTATTCTTTGGACAGATAACGCCTTTTAGGAAAGGGATTCAACCTGTGTTTATTCTTCAATACTTAAGAAATAAACATCAATAGGCAATAAACTGAAGCTTTAGAAAACTCATAAAAAAAGTCTCCATAATGTGGCTGCATCTTAGGTGGGTGCTGTACGTTATTAGGAAAGATTATCAGCAATTTCCAACACCAGACGATAGAAGGGTTTCCACCAAATAACAGGAACTTCGGTTAAAAGTGGTCGAATGTAAAATATCAATATCTGGTGAGGAGGGTAACAGCCGTAAGAAAATTAGACAAAACTTCAATAAATGACGAGACCGGACCCCTATCACAGAAATTTAACAACTGAAAGTAATAACAACTAACTGGAAAGTTAAAATCATGCAGGAACTAGAGTTAAAAAGGAAGTTCTCTCAGAAATCACTTCTAAAGTATTGCGACGTTGTTAAAATGTTTGATTATTATTGTAATCAGTCAGTCAGTAAGATGCAACGTACGTAAGTACATCAGTTCATGTTGCCATATCACATCAGCACAGAGATATAATTGTCGATTCAAATCCAATAGTAGAAGAGGTAGTAAGGGTATTAGAAGTAATCGGAGAGGTTAGGATTAGAAGATATTATTCAAGAAATATGATTCAGTGAGAAAAGTTTAGAAAGTCCAAACTAGAGGTGTTGAAAAATCCAGAAGATAAGGATTTGAGCGAACACAAAGAACAAATGCACCGGCGCCATTGCAAACGGTGTTGAGCCATGTCATTTGGGGTCTCTAACCATCGATTATCATCATCTCGCAGATCCCAACCAGGTGGTCGACACCTATCAACATAACTCAATCCACTTGTCAGCGACTTCATGGATTTCTTTCATGTTTTGTTTTGGCCACACCTAGCTTTCTTCCAACCTATTCCTACACTACAAAGCAAAGCTCGTCGAGGCAGTCGGTGGCTAGGCATACGCAACACGTGTCCCAACCACCTCAACTGGTGGAGTTTCACCACTTCATCTATTGATCTGCCACTCTTACCTAGCACCCGTTTCCCAATAACAGCGTTGCTCACTCGAGTGTCCCACGATATACGAGCAATGCTTCGAAGACACCTATGATCGAAAACCAATAACTGACGAGTATCTTCTACTCTCACTGGCCATGTTTCACATCCATAAAGTAAGACGGAGCGAACCACTGCGCAGTACACTCGTCCTTTAGTCAGCAAACGGATATCTCGCCTACGCCATAAGTGACACAGGTTGGCAAATGCTAATCGAGCCTTCTGTATCCGTGCTGAGATTTCGTCAGTCATCAGGCCATCGGCACTGATGAGACTCCCAAGATAAGTGAAGCGGTCTACACGTTCGACTACTTCACTCCCTATCACTAGTTCAGGTGCCGATGCAACCCAATCTTAAAGCAACATTTTACATTTCGAGAGGGAAAGCCGCATCCCGAACATGCTCGCATTGTTGCTTAGGGTGGTCAGAAGACTCTGCATTTTGTCGGTGTCTTCGCCAAGTAGGACAATGTCATCGGCATATTCTAAGTCATAAGCGAACCACCTGGTGATAGGTCTATTCCAGAAAATTCAGACGAGGATAATGTTATTTCTAGGAGCATGTCTATGATAAAATTAAACAAGAATGGAGAGAGTGGACATCTCAGACGGACACCACTTGAAGTAGAGAATTCCGGTGACAGTTCGCCATAAGCTCTCACCAGTGGTGTTTGAGTAGAGAGCTTGTATGAGGTTAATGTACTTTCTTGTTACACCTTTCAATAACACACACTGCCACAGAACCTCACGATCCACTGAGTCAAATGACGCCTTTAGGTCCAGCAAAACAACTATTGTAGGACGCCTAAATGTGTGTCTGTGTTCCAGGACATGTCGTAGTGTGAAGATGTGGTCTATACAGCCACGTCCAGCTCGAAAACCAGCCTGGTTTTCTCTAGTCCGCTCTTAACAAGCTCTAGTTAGACGTCGAAGTATTACTGAGGCCAATATTTTAGATACTATATTAGTTAGACTGATTCCCCTGTGATCGTCACAAGAGGAATTTTGCCCTTTCCTATAGATTGAGACGGTCATTGATTGAGACCAGTCCACTTGTGTCCAGTTCCCAGATTATACCTAAGATCTCGGTCAACCTAGTTGCTAAAACTGGACCACCATCCTTAAATATCTCAGGGGTCAGTCTATCAGGACCTGCAGCTCGTCCTCTTTTCAGATTTCCTAACGCTTTTCAGCTTCATTAAGACTAGGGGGACTTAGGTCGATTTGCCATTCAGGATGACTGGAGATCGTGGGTAACTGAAGAGTGGCTCGAGGCCAGTCGAACTGATCGCTAGAGTGTTCTGCCCATCGGTCCAGTCTCCTGGATTGAGAATAAATAATAGTCCCATCCTTTTCCGAGATAGTCTCACTTACACTAGGATTCCTAATACCAGTTTCCTTGATAAGTCGGAAAAGTTGTCTACTGTTGCCTATCGCCACTGCCTTTTCCATCACTCCCGCTTCTCCACCCACCACTGTTCTCGATCATTGAGTATGTTTTTTGTCAGCCTACGTCTAAGCTGACTCCGCTCCTCATCGCACTCAGAGCCAGGTGGAATGAGTTTTCGAACATCCATCAGTTCGGTAGATGCTACTGAGATCCATGGCTTCATCCTAGGCTTATGGTTCACCTTACTAGAAGATACCACTGCTGTTTCCACAGCCTTTTTGATATCATACAAACCTGCCTCCGGATGGGAATCGCTTAAATGGTTGCTCAACTCTGTTTGATTATCAATGAGTAAAACCCTAAGAGGCTTTCTTACGGTGTGTTTCCTACGCTCAGTAAGCCTCAAACAAATACGAGCTCACACTAGGGCATGATCTGAATCTAAACATGTGCCCCAGAAAGAGCGACAGTCCTCTAACTAACTCCTCCATCGGTGGCTGATGGCGATGTGATCTAGTTGGGTCCAGCGTTGTAACGAATTTGGGGGTCGCCAGATGTTCTTCCTTATGCCTAAAGTTAGCGTTTGCAAGAAATAGGTGTTTATCTGGGCATACTTGCAACAGACGACCGCCATTGTCTGTTCTGAGAGCGGCGACACCATAACATCCACCTAGGTGTCTTTCACTTTCACTTAGTCTACTTAGACGAGCATTAAAGTCACCAGCCATTAATACTATATCAGAGCGCCTAGCCTTTTGGAGGAGGTCCGAAAGCTTTCTGTAAAACTCATCTTTAACCTCGTCTGCACTGCAGTCAGTGGGGGCATAGGCAGATATGACGAAGAGGCAACGGCGAGTGTCCCTATCTTTCCGAGTCCTTATTGTCCCGTTTAGTCGGACAGCGCACAAACGACTATCTACTGGGATCCAGTCAAGGAGAGATAATTCTGCCCCAGGACTCAATGCTATGCCTACGCCAGCAAGACCCCTGGAAGCAGCATCAGGGCTACCGGATACACGAAGAGTGAATCGGGCTGCTTCTTCGTTTTGACAAGGTGGAATCAGGTTAATGACTTTACTAGAATCCTGTATGCGTGTTTCCGAGACGCAGCATACATCGATGGCACGAGTTTCTAAAGTCCTAGCTAATGATGCCTGTTGCCCTATTTGACACAATGTCCGTACATTAAATGCTCCAACATGTAGTCTTGGAACGATGTCTCGTGCCGTCTGCATTAGCGGTGCAGTGAGAAAAGGGAGTGTGAGTAGAGCTAGTCGTAGACATAAGAGAGATATTAGGGGGTGTAGGAAGGATTTGATTTCGACCAATTTGGTCTCTTATGTTGTTACGGGTATGAGGGCGGTTGTCACTTCCCGGCTGCACACACTGCGGAAGGTTGTTTCTTGAGGAACCTGAAAAGAAAGATAGATTAGTGCTGGTGCGTGACCACAGAGTCCAAGGGACAACTGCTTCAGGCCGGTCACGCACGGCCTTTTGATGAAAGATTTTTTTGAGTATTAGCTCCGCCCTTTTCGAAAGCCCTCAATGAACACCCTTACCGACGGAGACGGAAATCCGTGAGGTAGGGGAGGTGTGATATTTTTAAGGTCGACCTTTTCTAACCCTTCCTTCCTTGTGAGAAGGCAGCATCGCTGCAGATGCTGGTTATCCGAGGGAAACACCTTACTGCTGTCACACCCCTCTGCAGTCAGCAGTACATCCTCGCCCTCAGAACTTGGGTAGCTGCTTTTAGTCTCATCGTTCTCCAATCGACCTGCCTGGCATGGCAGAACCTTCAGGAACATATGTTCCAGTCAGTATAGCTCGGTTGGGTCATCGCGATAGGCAAACCCGACTATCACGTCAAGGTAGCAGCTACGGTAGGGATTCTTGTAATCGGCTGAACAAGATATGCAACTACCCACTATGTAACGAAAACACCAGATCCTGGCGAAGAAATCAAGAAAAAGCGCGGGGTGGGTAGGACACACATTGCGGAAATAATCCAATAACGTCTTGAAGGCCAAAAGTAAAGTGGAACACTAAACTACACATTATGCTGAGAAATGGAAAGAAACATGAATGACTGAGTAGCATTTGGGTAGAAATGGATAGGAGAGCTCAGGACAGAGTAGGTTGGAGAATGCTGGACGCCAGCCCATGCTCTATGAGGGGTAACAGGCGTAAGTAAGTACTCGATAACTTACTATCACTTACTGCAAATATGTCGGAATATTTCAGAATTTAAAATAGAAAGGTATTCTTCAATCCAAATCCTTTTGTGCGACAGGGTTAACGAAAAAAATCTATTTGACAGATTTTATGGGACAAAGTAGCATTCATGTCAACTAATACTATTTCAACCAATGGTGTCCCTCTCTAATGATACATTTTTTATTGATTAGTGTGCTTATTATCTGCTTGGCTGAATTGAAAGGGTTATTTCCCGTATTGTTTACATTTATCCTAAAGTATAGGCAATTTTCACGAATTTCAAGCACAAAGTAATATTTATCATATGTCTATTAAGAATCCAGATAGCCTTTTGACATCATCTGATCTTGAGAAAAACTAGAAAGTAAACAGTAAAACAAACTGCAACATATCAAAAAATTACATAGTGCTAACTTGTTGCACTGTCAAACTTTGAAGAAATTAAACAAAGATACATTAATAAGAATCACAAAATATCATTAGATCATAATCGCCACTTGATCAATGTTACTCTAACATACAAGACGATAAGCATTATGTGTAATAAAAAGAGTAAGGGAAGAATATATACTTCAAGAAATTGGTTCATTAGTATACAGAAAATATTGCATTGATAAAACTAGGAATCAATAGAGAGGTTCATATGTACATTTGATTCAACATAATTATTACTTATTTTTTTGAAAAAAATGTAAACAATTTATTTACATCATGTGATATGTTCACTGACTATATGATTGATACTTTATATTAATATCTTGATCGTCTAAATGCACACCATCATGAGTATCATGATTATCTTCGGATTTTTGGTTCGGATCAATATTCATCGGAACTCGAATAACTAATGTAGCATCATTAAAGCATGGATTTTTAGCTTGTAATTCATTTAACCAAAGACGAATAAGTGTAGACGAAGCAGGTGATGGAATTTGCGGTAAACTAGATCTTTCTTCGCGAGTCTTTTTTTGTTCATAATCTTGTGAATCTGTATGTTGAATCCTGTTGGAAACTTCCCAATCATATAATTTTTTTTGATTATCTAAAGCATCTGGTTTAGGTACAACAACTCCAACAGCAAGTATTGTACCTTCACCTTGTTCATGTTGACAAAGATTTGATGGTAAATATTTATACACATGACTTTGACGAATTGTAAGCCAACGTTTATCGAATTCCGGTTCACATTTACTAATGAATTTGGTAGTAGTAGTAGTAGTAGTAGTAACATTATCATCATTATAATGGCGTAATTCAGTAGTATCAGTTGAATTCATTGTAGGAAGAAGACTTATGTGTGGCAAAAGAGAACGATTTAAATTTTGAGAATCAGAATTATTCAATACTATATTTGAACTATCCTTTGAATAATTAAAGAATGAAAGATTATAAGGTTCTGCAGAAAAAAAAAATGAAAGCGTACAAATAAATGCATATTGAAATTGTAAGATTATAAGTTGTGTATGCATTATAAAATACCAAAATGAACATAGTAGTCTGTTCAATCAACCGACACACATGAACTAAGGTCATAATGGAAGTATTGGGTTTAACAAACTCAGGGTTGTTTAACAAAAAATATTTCCTATTTATAGTAAAGAGATTGGATTCTCGTATTCAAAATATCACCGGCAATTATGTTGTTTAGCCAACTTGCGAGGATCACAGGCACTGATGATCAACCCATATTTAAATAATCAGTCATTAATTGGAAAGACGATCGTCGATTACAAAACCACAATTCGGACAATATACATTTGGCCTTTCCATTACTACAAAAAGTCAGCATTAAAATATGCTGATACATGTTACAATCTTTAACGAAACACTTGATTTGTAGATAGAAAAGAACTGCTTTATATGCACTGCTTGAAAGGTTTTTTTGCAAGCTTTTAATAGTAAACATTCAATGTTATTCACTTCGAGTATTCACTGAATATATAGCTCATACAGAATAAATTTTTTTTTAAAAAATGGAGTTTAACTAATGTGATTCATTTTCTTATTGTAAATTTATGGATGAAATGGTATGGTTGGAATGTTTAAAAGTAATTCCATTTAAATTATCTAATAATATACGTGATACAGTTTAGTCTGCTCCTCCTTCTATAAGGAATAAATACCTTCGAAAAATTAAATTATGGCAGATACTCATTTTGGCATAGTCTATAATTTATGAAAAGCATAAATATTGAGTTGGAAAAACAATACTCTTCATCAGTTTGATGCGATGAGTTGATACTTTCAACGTTTAAACTATCAGTGTAGAAAGTGAATTGCTTTTTGAAATTTAGATTTTTTTCATGATTGTAGCTGAGATGGATTGAGCTTTTAAAAAAATTGATTGAGAACTATGAAAATGTATTTCAACATTAGTTTAATGATATTATGATCTGGGAAGATGCTTACAACCATTCATCATAGTTTTCCAATGTTTTTTTTAACTGAAGGTTTGCAAAAGTTTTTATTTTATTTAAGCACACATAAATATTTATAAGTCACACAAACCAATGGATTTGAGTGTGGGTTAGGATGGAGTTCTGTAGTCTAAACCGTAGCAAGAAGTTTTCCTAGAGAGCCTCAATCCGAGCACTTGAATCAGAGATCGAATCCACAAGACAATGAAGTAACATAGTAACCGATGATCAACAATAAGACTATACACCATCTGTTCCATAGCAGACAGATACAACACAGAACTTCGTACGTAAGTACATCAGTTCAGGTTGCCATGCCCCATCAGCAGAGAGAACACAAAGAGTGGATGCACCTGCGCCATTGCAAACGATTCTGAGCCATGTTGTTGAAGGTCACTAACCATCGATGACTATCGTCTCGCGGACCCCAACCAGGTAGCCTACATCTACCATCTGTTCCATCAGGATGCCCGAGCCAATGTGCACTGATGGTTTGGAATCTGAGTTTTCCAACTACCCTAAGTGGATCGTACGGATCCATCAACCCAGTTAAAGTGCCGCATCTTTATGCATTGACTGACTATGTGAATAAAATACGGTAACAGTGTAACAGTGTAATTAGGATCTGCATAATGTCTGTCTTGATCTAGTATCACATATAAAATCATTCTATAACATGAGAAACAAAACAACAGAGCATTATTTAACGACATTAAACAATTACCATCTGCAGTATGTTTTGGTACTTGACTAGCTTGCACTGTATTCGTTTCGTTTTTTAATCGATCAGCATCGATTTCTGTCCATAAAGTGTAATAAGCCGCCTATATATATAAAGAGAGAGAAGGAAGAAGAGAAAAAGAGGATTACATTTACACAATCTTACTCTTCCACTTATCTAACATTCATAACCACTTCATTTCACTCAACTTAAGCTGGAACAAGGATAAAATGTAAAGAAAACGCATTTGAAATGACCGGAACAGTAAAATATAACAATAGTAAGTATCCATATAGGATTTACAGGAGAAACTTCAAGTATAATTACACACAGCTCATTAACACTGATTTTGGAACTACCGAGTAAGCAATGCTGAAATTATACATAGGGCATTAAGTAAATAGAGCAAATCACTTTATGAAATTGTGAATCTTCATCAGTTGAAGTGGCTGGATCACGTGTTGAGGATGTTTAAGCACTGTCATCTAGTGTAGCAGTAGGTTAGGAGAATTTTAAGGACAGTCAAATCATAATGTTCAAGAATCCACTACTTGTTAAACTGACCCAAGTAGGCAGATGTAAATTCATCACTGGTCAGGATTCAGGATAGAATCGTGACCAATGGTTAGAAACGCTTAGTAATATGATTCAGATTCGTCTACAACGGCACAAGTACATTACCTCTTCACATTCACTTCCAAGTTTCTAAATTACCTGGTAGGTTTTTTGCCTCATATATTCATATTTAAATTTTATATCGTATTTCCTGTGCTTAGTATTTTCTACGGCTACTGACCTTATTACTAATTCTGCTACTCTAGGATTTGGCTTTATAATTTTATTGCTCTGCGGATCTGATGTTCCGGCTTGAATCAATGCATAATTAAGCAAGTTTTGACGTCACATATAACTAATCGGCTAATTAATTACCATTGATCAATTAAAAGAGGGGCAATTGGTGTATTTCGATTTAGGCTCGCAACACAGTGAAATGAATGACTCTACTCGGATCAAGTATGTACGTTCCGAAGACGCAGCAAGCACAGGTGGCAGGAGATTCTAGAGTCCTTGCTAAGGAAGCCTGTTGTCCTATTTGGTACAAGATCCCGACATTAAAAGCCCCAACATCCAGTTTAGAGAGGGATTTTAGGAGACCAGGAATATCATTTCGTATACTCAAATTTTCTGCATCAGCGGTGTGAGGTAATAAAGGGATGTTAGAAGGGTCAGTAGTGGAGATAAGAGAGCTATTAGGTGCAGGAAGGAATTGATTTTGACCAAGCTGGTCTTACGTGCTGCTCGAGGATGTCACTTACCGGCTGATCACACTGTGGAAGAGAACTTCTTGAGGAACCTCCAAAGGAAGTTGGATTAGCATCGGACTTACAGGCCTGGGAGCGTGGCCACAGAGCCCAAGAGATAACTGCTTCAAGCAAGTCACGCACGGCCTATTTATGGGTAGTTTTCAACGTGTTAGCTACGCTATTCAAAAGGCCTTATCGCCAGCGACAGGAAACCGTGGAGTAAGATGAGGCGTGAAACTTTTAGAGTCGACCTTTTCTAACCCAATGCTAGCTGTCTCTACCCCAGAAACTAGTTAACTGAGCAAGAGTGGATGAAAAAATCTACTGGCCTACCGAATAATACACATAAATTCTCATTTATATCTTGACATTATTCTAATTTATAAAAACGAATCCCTTTCCTGATCAATGATACGCATTCATCTTTTAGGACATTTCTAATTACCATCAAGTGACTTTCAAGTTCAGTCACCGCCTATTACCTTTTTAAATTAAATTTATTTCACTTTTATTTTTGTTTAAGGATATAATCAATTAATGAAAATAAAATAAAAATGAACAAATATTGAATGATGATGATAATAGCATTTCACTTACTTGTAAATTATTAAACCATACATAATGTGGTCCATCTAAATAAATTGTTGCTTTCATACATTGAGCATGATCATGTTGATTGGTACGAATTGATTTATTAGTACAAAATGCTAGTAATGCACGTTGTTCAGGACTTTGAGCACTAATCAATGAATCTGATCTGTCAGAATTAGATGATGCCATCTGATAGATCATAATAATGAAAATAATAATAATAATAATAGAGAAAGTAAATTAAAAATGTTAAACAATAGTTACAGTAGACATTCACAATGAATATGTCGATGTGTTTCAGTGTTAACTTCAAGAAAATTAGACGTTACAATATGAATAGATGATATACGTTTGCTACATCTGTGATGCTTTAATCTTACTCATACCATTAAAGGAACCAGTTAAAAAGAAACGGGTTAATTCTACTATTTTTTTTAAAAAAAAGTGCATTTACTTTTACAAAGATGATGATGATGATACAACTGAGCTGTACACACATAAAGTTTATTATAATGCCTGATCCGGACTAATAAGCAAATGACAAAGGTGATGATGAGTGTACAGTTTGTATTGTCTATGATAGATTATTGTTATTAAACAATTTTAATTATAAATTAAGGAAACAAAAGTTTCAGAATTCATATTGAATAGGTAGGTAGAAATAAAAACGAATTCAGTCAATTAGCCACAATGTAGAAAACTTGGTAAGTACATACATTATTAGCTCAAATTGCCATACCACATTAGTACGCAGAGATCGAATTGTCCATTCAAATCTTACAGTAGTATAGGTAGTAGAAGTATAAGGGGTAGTCAAAAAGATTAGGGATCGAAGATTCGATTCAAGAAGTATATCCCAATGGAATAAATTTGCAAAGATATAGAAAGGTCATGAGAACTGCAGAAGATTAGAATTTGAAGGGAGACAAAGAACCAATGCATCGGTGCCATTAAAAAGGACTACAAATTAACAAATCAAACTACTCTTGTTATGAATAGACAGAAGGAAAAGTGATAAAAGAAATAATCATTTACAAAAGAATGGGTTCAGTAAGTAGTAAACAGAATTGAAAGAAATTTGATTACCTAGATCGAACAATAGGACAATAGTATTATCCCTAAAAATTCATAGGTACTACAATAGATCTGATCTATTATGCGTCAACTTAAATCCGATCATGAACATATTACTCGCCTGACTAGCAAGATACAGGTGGTAGGAAAAATATAGATTACACAGTAGATATGTTTGATTATCTAACTGGAACATCAATCAATCAGTGTTGACAAAACACTAGTGGTTAAACTGAATGTGTGAACACGTGGTTAATTATTTCGTGAAATAGATTGAAATCAGAACTTAAATACTGTTTTGAGTAGTTGAGTAATGACGAAATGAATCAATCTGTGTGTGTTTGATGAGTTTCACTGTAGCAGTTTAGTCGATAGTACAAGCCAAGGTACCAGTTTAAGATGCTTGATCTCTTTCCCGACCGTAGCTGCGACCTTAAGGAGGTGGCCGGGCTTGCCTATCATGATGACCCAACCGAGCTATATATGTCGGAACATATGTTCTTTTAGGTCTTACGATGTCATGAAGGTCAATTGGAGAACGGTAAGATCAAAAGGAGCAACTAAAGGTCTGAGAGCGAAGTTTTACCGTTGACTGTAGGAAGATGTTAAAGCAGTAAGTTGCTTCCCTCGACAACCAGCAGCTGAAGAGATGCTGCCTTCTCACAATGGAAGGAGAGGGTTAGAAAAGGTCGACCCTAAACGTTTCACACTTCATCTTAATCCACGGATTCTTGTCTACAGCAGTAACGCCTTCTGAAGAGCGTAGCTAACACGTTTAAAACTTCACATAAATAGGCCGTATGTGACCTGCCTCTTGGGCTCTGTGGTCACGCTCCCAGGACTCTAAGACCGATGATCATCCAACGTCCTTTCCAAGTCCCTCAAGAAATTCTTTTCCACAGTGTGGGCAGCCTCCTTCCTACTCGTAAGAGCATACAGCATGATTTGCTAGTTAATTTGAAACTTTGAGTTCTTACTGACCGTCAGTTCAAAATGATAAGAAAACAACCATCGAGTATCTTTGTACCTAGGAGATTTCCTAGCTGGATGTCAGTGAGTGGTGAGTGAGAATTATGTTCAATTTAAACTTAAATTTAAGTGTACACTGGGAAATTTTGGTTGATATGGTTTGCAATCGGTCATAATGATGCACGTCCACTGACATTCACTTTCCTTTAGAAATTTCGAGTTTCAACATTGCTTTATACATAATTTCCTAATCATTTTTTAAATTATATTCTCAACGTTTAGTCTTTTTCACTATCGCTTTTAATCGGGTAACGTGGCATGAGGTAACGCACAATTATTTCAGATACTGCACCAATTGCGACAGACTGACAAACGCGATTTTTTGTATAAAACTATTTCAGTCGATAGACATTAATTATTGTTTAATTAACTAACCTGTACAACTGTGAATTCTGTCATCCTATCAGGGCATATTCTTTCGGCAATTAAACATCCTAATTTAATAGGATCCAAATCAAGATCATCAGCGATTCGAAGTGGTACTGTCCATGGATTACTATAATATAGTTTAGGCATCCAATACATAAGACCACGATAAGTTTGCATAGCATGATTACGCCAACCGAAAATGTCGATAATCATTTGACCAACTTCATCATCTGGCAGAACATCTGAGGAATGTATATAAATATATAATAATGAAGAAACTATTTCATTCTCATCGTTATAACACACTCATTCAAACATTATATAAAATAAAATAGATAAAAATGAAATTAATTTGTTACCATTTTCTGTCCGTTTTTATATTCATTATTGATATACTTCAGTCCCTTCGACAGTGTGGCCTAAAAGGGACTGACCGCCACCCTCATAAAAGTAACAGCAAACGATACCAAAGTAGTCAGAATCAAATCCATCCTATACTGTTTACCGACCCTATTACGTCTATGACCAAATGTTCTCACGTTTCTTTACCACCTAGCGCCACTGAAGCAAACGATTCGAGTATGTGAGACGTTATTCCTGGTCTTCTGAATCCCCGTTCTAAACAACATGTTGGAGCTTTTTATGTTCGAACCTTATGCCAAATTGGACAACAGGCTTCCTTAGCTAGGACTTTCGAATCTCGGGCTGGCGAAGTATAATGTATCTGCGAAACGCGCATACAGAATCCGGGTAGAATCATCAATTTGACCTCACTTTGTCAAGAGAAAGAACCGTCTAGATTTACGCTACGTGCACCCGCAAAGCCTAATGCTGTTTCCCGTGGCCTCGCTGGTGTAGGCACAGCATTAAGTTCTAGGGCAGAACTAGCTCTATTCGACTAGTTCCAAGCAGATAGTCGCTTGAGTGCTGTCCGATTAAATGGGATAGTAAGGATTCGAAAAAATAGGGACACTGGCCGCTGCCTCTTCGTCGTCTCTGCAAACTAGCTGCAGCTCGGATGAGATCAAACATGAATTTTACCGAAAACTTCCTAACCTTCAAAACGTTAGGCGCTCTGATGTAGTAATAGTGGCTGGTGAATTCTCAATGCTCAAGTAGGTAGGCTAAGCGAAAACGAAAGGCACATGGTGGATCCTATAGTGTCGTGGCTCAAAGAACTGATAATGGCGACCATCTGCTATAGCCATGCTCAAATAATTGCCTATTTCTATCAAACACTAACTTTTTAAGCATAAGGAAAAACGCTTCACGACCTGCAGAGTGAGAGAATTGGCTGTAACGTCTGTTGCAATATGGTTAGTTACAACGTAGAACTTCGCACGTATGTACGTCAGTTCATGTTGCCACACCACATTAACAAACAGAGATCGAATTTTCAATGAGAATCCCATAGCAGTACAGGTTGTAGAAGTATTTGCGGTACTGGACAAGTAAGGGTCCGAAGATATTATTCAATAAGTATACTCCAATGAAACAAACTTAAAAAGACAAAGATAAAAATAATGAGAAATTCAGAAGATTAGAACTTGAGAGAACACAAAGAATGGATGCACCAGCGCCACTGCAAACGATTTTAAGCCATATCGTTCACGGTCCCTAACCATCAGCTACTATCGTCTTGCGGACCTCAACCAGGTAGTCTACACTTACCGACATGGCTCAGTCCACATGTCAGTACTTCATAGATTTCTTCCATGTTTTGGTTTAGCCTTCCATGGCTTTCTTCCAGCCTAACCCTACACAGCTAAACATAGGTCGTCGAGGCAGTCGGTGGCTAGGCATACGTAACAAATGTCCTAGTCACAGGATCGCCATAAACCTACCGGAAATTAGAGGTGTGTACTAACAACATTTGGATGACACCATGGAAATGGAGCGCAAAGTGGCCTATGGCTTCCCAAAACACCTCGTTCATAACCACTGGGCTTTTTGCAGACTCTTTACAACTCCTTGAGGTACATCAGTCTATAACCAGCTAACCGAGTTTGAGGATTAATGTAAACTGTTACGTAAGTAAGCTGTGCTAAGCTTGCGTAAGGGCAGAGAAGCACGATGGTTGGAGAATGCTAACGAGTTGGAAGCATCAAGTGCATTTGATAACTGTTGGAAGTTCTCTCAATCGATTCAAAACACTGGCGACAAGAAGTCTGGTATGAATGAAACGATCTGTGGAGATGATTAGACATCAAATAACAGCATCCAGAGACGTCTCTGACGATGGACAGTTTCAAGAGGAATAGCGGCTGTTCGGTTACCGCAGCAACGCCAGTCAGACTGCATTTACCTCGTTAGCAAGTAATGACTGATCCACATAACGAGAAGTCTGCAAGAAACTCCAGATTCTGAAGCACCATGGATCACTAGGTCCAGACAACATAACCCCGATTTGTGAAGATCCGGGTCACCTTTGAAACACTCGTGATGTTAGTCTAGCTTTAAAGGGTGGGATCTAAGTTTCAATGAAAGGTTCTGCTCTATGCTTGTAAAAACTGGCCTTTTCCAGCTAATTATGTTCTACGACTCTGCATTCGATTATCGTTGTCTCCAAAGGTCTGTTGACAATCAGTGACAATACCATGTTAGTTTTATATAAGTTTCTGCAGTGACGATAATTCACTTGGTGACACCATCCTGATACAATGGCTCCAGTAGCTTGGATATGTAGCACGAATGTCATTCCAGTGACTTTCACACCGCACCTTGTTTGCCGACGCTAGAAATGAATAAAAAGCGTAAATGGTCGGCTTATGTCATGGTGCAGAGGAATGAGACTGGAATGGCAGTCCACCACGGCTCTTTAGTTAGGGTCCCGAGGAAAATCTAACTCAGTGGTTTGAGACGTCATCAAGCATAACTCAGAACAAAGTCTATTATCAATACTGCTGTAGCTCTCTCCTTAGGAGCTCTCTTGGCGGTTAGAATACTTTCTGTGCATAGTCTCAGTTCAACCGTTTCTGACATGAATTTTTTAAACTTTATTCACATGTTTTTTATACTTTCATTTACTTTGATTTTAATTCACCACCTTTCTCTAATGCTACCTAACTTTATTTGAGATATTTGCTTCCAGTGGATGACAACTGTCAATCATCATAATCAACGAGAAACCTAGCGCGAATAAGTATCGATTCAAGTTTCATTATTCACACCAAAAGAAAATGAAGGTACAGGTACAAGGTGGGGGGGCAGAGGGATTAAGTTTAATACTACTTCCGTATAAATAGACTACACTGCAAGATACAGTAAATGAGGAATGAACGAGATTGAAGAATAAAAAAACTATGAATGAACATAACTGCGGTATTGCTCCACGCTCTCTTAAAAAAGATTTGAGAGGAAGAATATCTCATCAAGATACCAAAGAAAACAGGTCTTAGTAAGTGTGGGAATGACAAAGGTATGACACTACTATCTAGACCTAGGAGTCTTCAACACTGTTGTTAGAATGAAATAAAAGGAGATTTTAACTTACGATATCTTCCCATTTGATTTATTAAATCAATCATAACTTGTTGTTGTTTCGGAAAATGATTAAAATCAGCTTGAAAAAAACGTTTCACATTCATTCGTCCAGTAGGAAATAAACGAATGATTGCTTTGTAGCAATCTAAATCATACATAACTTCATAATCAGTCATTTTATTCAATGCTTGTTGAATAAATGATGTGAATCCTTTACGAGTTGGTCCTGCTCGCTGAATAAACATTTCTAAAATATGCTGTAATCACATTTTTTTTAAAAGAAGAGACAAAAATACAAATGTTATGTGTTACATGCATACAACTATTTAATTTGTTATAGAACAAGTATAAGTAAAGAATAGATGGAATGTGGCTAGAGCAATGGAGTTCAGGACGCGTGTTTCATCCTATTTCGGATTTGGAATAATTCAAAACATTTCAAATTGAATTAAATTTCCTATCTATTGCACTAGTAAGTGATTAGCCGGACTCAATAGCTAAGTGGATAGTACTGGACTAGAGTACGGAGTGAATATAAACTCCGGGACAAAGGTACACCCAGTTTACAAGTCCCAAGTAGGACGGAACGCTTATCCTAGATTGCACTGCTAGACATATTCTAAGTATTCTAAATCAGCCTGTGTCATAAATGGCTAATATCAAAACAATCTGCACAAGATGTCTGTATGCCAACGAAGACTGATCAGATTTACGCGTCAACAAATCAAAAGCAGAATAAACCAAGTCATTTCAAGTTGAATGAATATTATTGGTATGCATCATAACACATAACATCGATATAGGGAGAGAGAGAGAGAAAATTAATAAGACAAAGAGTGAGGTAGAAGGAATGTTAACAACTGACTACACACACATCAAGACGATTCTTTATCTCAAAGTGTGCTGTTGATTGAAATATATGGAGAGAAATGATGAAAGACAATTAGACTAAAACAGTATTCGTTAATGGAGTCAATGATTTTCGATGGAATTCATATTAATAAATGTAATTTTTGTTATTTGATGTTTTCACGTTGCTAGAAATCTCAATTATGGAGAAAGGTTTGACTGAGAGAAAACATTAAAATCTTGGATAACGATAATATGGGGAAAATCACTGACTTGGCAATTAGGCTACTAGACAATCAGTAAACAAACTAAAATAAACCAAAATTATCAACTTATCAGACAGACAGATACAACGCAGAACTTCGTACATAAGTACATCAGTTCAGGTTGCAATGCCCCATCAGCACAGAGACGCAACTGTCAATTCAAATCCAAGAGTGATAGCGATAGTAGAAGTATTAGCAGTAATGGAGAAGATTAGGGAGCGAAGATATGATTTGAGGAGTATAATTCAGTGAGATAAATTTAGGAGAAAAATAGAGATTATGATGAATCCAGAAGGTTAGAATTAGAGGAAACACAAAGAGTGGATGCACATGCGCCATTGCAAACGATTTTGAGCCACGTCGTTCAAGGTCTCTAACTCATCGAAGAATATGATAACTATAAGGTATGGTGAATTAAGTCCGGACATCGTCAAAATTGAGTATGGTGACCATTGATTTGCCAATTGTTTCTCAGCCTATTTCTTGTCAAGTTGTTTATTTCCACTAGCTACTCTGATATAATGGTCATGGTAAATTAGGTTGATACACATACTCGTGCTGCTGAGATTTGACAATGATAACAAGTAACTAAATTAAAGTATAATGGAGTTAACACACTTTTGAAATAACACAATATAACAAGTGTATACAAGCATGATAAATGAAAATGCATCCTGTGAGTAGTACTTACAAGAAATGCACGTTTCTTCCATTTTCGAAGTTCTGTTCTAGTCATATTAGTATCAGATCCTTTCAAATTTATTAATTCCGATTTTTCAACTTCTTGAACTGCATCTAACCACTCACTAAAAAACGATTGAAGAGAAACGAAATACAGAAAAAACTCAGTGTGCAATTGAGTGTACTCACTGGAATGCCAAAACATTTAGCGAATAAATAACGAACTAGTGTTTCATGTTATTTCGAAACCCCTCAGAAATATGTATATATAGTTTTGATATCTATTAAACACTGGAATAACTAACTTACAAGTTTAAGTAGTTAAACTGATTACAATAGCTACTGCTAAGTGGCTTATACAAAATAATCATTAAAGGTACAATAAAAATTAGACTATTAATCGACTGATGTTCTTTTGTCAGTTGGTTTAAGAAATTTTGAACAAGCTAAATAGTGGTAGAAGTCACACTGGATAAATTAGTGGAAAGTGTATTGACATACAAACCGTTACATTTTCTCAACTATAAGTCCTAGTTTGAGTAAAAGTAAAATGGACCATTAATTTCTAAGCCTTTGCTCAGCACGGATAGAGAAAGCTGGATTGGCTTTAGCCAGTTTACGTCATTTATGGCGTAGGCGAGATATCCGTTTGCTGACTAAAGGACGAGTGTACTACGCAGCAGTTTGCTCCGTTCTCCTATATGAATCTGAAACATTGCTGGTAAGAGTAAAAGAAGTTCGTAGGTTACCAGTAATTCGATCATAGATGCTATGCTGTTGTTAGGAAATCAGTACTAGATATGGATGGCAGATCAGTTGATGAAGTAGTGAAACTCCACCAGTTGATGTGGTGCGGACGTGTTACGTATGCCTAACCACCGACTGCTTCGCCGAGCAATTTTTTGTTGTGTAAGAGTATGTTGGAACAAAGCAAGGCGTGGCCAGACCAAAACATGGCAGAAATCCATGAAGTCATTGACTAGTGGACTGAGCCATGTCGGTAATTGTCGACTACCTGGTTGGGGTCCGCGAGACGAAAGTCATCGATGGTTAGAGACCCTGGATGACATGGCTCAAAATCGTTTGCAATGGCGCAGGTGCATCCACACTTTGTGTTCTCTCAAATCCTAATCTTCTGGATTCGTCAACACCTCTACCTTTGTCTTTCTAAACTTATCTCACTGAATTATACTTCTTGAATATTATCTTCAAATCCTAATCTTCTCCATTAGCAGTAATTCTTCTATTATCTCTACCACTATTGGATTTGAATTGACAGTTGCGTCTCTGTGCTAATGTGGTATGACAAAATGAACTGATATACTTCCGTAAGATTTCTACGTTGCAACTGACTGACTTATAAACCTTCGATTAAAAAACTCACTAATTATCTTTCAATAGGAAAACAAAAGTGAAAATAAACAAGTAACAGCATTAAATTAGATTCTATCGAATTAGATGAGTGAAATAATTTTATCAATGACTGATCACAGCGTGATGACCTATGTTCGGTGTTTTAAGTCTTTCTCAGTGTTGATCGAAGAACATCGATCAGGTTATGATGTGGTCATTAATCTAGGTGACTAGATGCATAGTTATGATTAGATGTAGTCGATAGGAAACCCTGCTTGACCTACATATCCTGCTATTTGACCATCGTCAGAAACGTGTACACCTGTAATCTTGAGGAAACTAATGTTCTCTAGTGAATTTGACCTCGTGTTATCAGAGACGTTACTATTGAGCCATTCAGGCTGCGACTGACTTCCTGTACGGCTGAGATGTATTTGCAGTTGATTGATCAATAGTGATCAATGTCATTCATTCAGTCAGATGCAATATAGAACTTCGTACGTAAGTACATCAGTTCATGTTGCCAGACCACATTAGCACAGAGATGTCATTGTCAATTCAAATCCAGTAGTAGTAGAGGTAGTTAAGGTATTAGAAGTAATCGGAGAGGTTAGGATTAGAAGATATTATTCAAGAAGTATGATTCAGTGAGATAAGTTTAGGAAGACAAAACTAGAGGTGTTGACGAATCCAGAAGATTAGGATTTGAGAGAACACAAACAATAAATGCACCGGCGCACCAATTTCATGTGCGTCAGCTTCTGCTAAGTTCCGATTATGTCATGATGTTGCTATTGTACGAGGAGTAAGGCGAGGTGTGAAAGCTTTAGAATCGACCCTTTCTAACCCCCTCCTTTGATTGTAAGAAGGCAGCATCTCTGCAGATGCTGGTTGTCAAGGGATGCACCTTACTGCTTTCACATCTTTCCACAGTTAACGGTAAAACTTCGCTCTCAGGTCTTTAGTTGCTCCTTTTGATATTACCGTTCTCCAATCGACCTGCTTGACGTCGTAGGACTTAAAAGAACTTATGTTTCAACGAATATGCCTAGGTTGGGTCATCATGATGGGTAAGCCCGACCACCACGTTAAGGTCGCAGCTACAGTTAGGAACAGGATAGATAGGTACTTGCATCATTAAAATGCGCAAAATAATTCTACTTTAATTTGATTTATTGTGGTAAGGATACTGGAGGGAAGCAGTACAAAAATTAATGTATTTAAGTAGAAGTATAAGTATGTGGTAAACATAATCATACTAAGCACTGTTATCATTTTAATCCACTCAAGTGTCAGTAACTCTGCTGCATTTTGTTACGGAACATACACTTTAAGTCGATCATTTTTGATCTAATTTCTTCTTCACAATCAATACTTTCGTAGAATTTAAAAGGGTAGATGAAATATGTTCCAATATAATTAAGATAACATTTAAACCAGTGAAGTTATCGTATAACATTTGCTTGAGAAGTTGGAAGTTATCTTATGTATGACTTTAATAGTTCTGAAACTGATTGGAGAAGAAGAGAAAGGAGACGCAATCACCTTTGTTTTAAAAATAACACAGAAATATAAAACATTGTCTTGTCAGGTGAAGGACCTGCTGGTTCATAAAGGCTATGTAGAACGAAATAATGAAACATTGTATACGAAGGTGTACATTATTTAGGAATTGTTGATGTTTTACGTAAACAGTAAATTGTATTTTAAGAGAAAAACAATTTCGTCTGTATTCTAATGAGAATTATCTTTTTTCCTATCATAGTTTTTACTATTTACTTTAAGGTTCTTTTTCTTTTCCCTACAAAAATATTATTTCATTTTGTGTTGTGGGCTTACTGTATTCAACAATTTTTGTTTTACAATAATGTGTAAAACAAATTAACACGAAAACCATATCATATATAATCGAAATAGTACAAGAAACAATAATGCATTCCTATCAATCTAGAATTGATGAGAAATTAATTTATAACGATAAAAAACAAAATAAAGGTGTACAGATGAATGCAACTTACCTGTCATTTGGTACATCCTGAAAACCTTTGGACTGTTTAGAGGCAGCTTCATCAAGCTTTGATCGGATGAAAGAAAAAAATGACGCAGGACGTGAAGCTACTGGTATCATCAATTTGGTTGCTTCAAGTCTATTCCCATAAACTGATACTCGATGTAGGACTTTGAATAGTCGTAACCTAGATATGAAGTCGATACGAGCCATTTCGCTTCGATTTTAAGGTTCAAATGATCTGAAAATAAAGAGTGATGTTTAAGTTGATGATAATTATGTTCAACTGATAGTAAATTGTTTTATTGGATTTGCATTTAATTAAAACTAATCATAAAAGATTTTAATAATATTTTAGTCGAAGAATCTGTTCTGGATAATCTTACACACTGTAGCACACATGATGCACAAACAACGAAGAAAAATACCCGACGAAAATCTTCTGAAAGAATAGCTATCCACATAACTTTATCAAAAATACCAACTGAAGCTATCAACAGAAGCGAAAACAAGTTCAGGAATAAATAAATGGATCATCCTGTCATATATAAAAGACCAATTGTAAATTACAGCACGATTACTAAAACCATTTGGAATAAGTGTAGCACGCAAACCAACAGAATTATTTCAATCAATCCTATGTAAAGCAAAGGATAAAATCACAAAAGAAGAAAAACCACATATCATCTACAAAATAAACTGTTCAAACTGCGAAAAAGACTACATCGGACAAATTAGACGACCTGATCAGCTTTGTTTACATGAACATTAATTAGCAGTCAAACTCCATGTCATTTTTTCATCCATAGATACGGACAACTATGGACATACATTCTATTGCAACAATGTTGAAATACTGGTTAGCGGAAGCACAAAGAACACTAGAGAATTTTCAGAAGCTTGACACTCAGGTCAATCAGCAATCAACAAACACATCCACATTCATCCAATTTATCAACCAATCAGAAAAATCATAGATAAACATAGGATCAAGAAACAGCTCGAATGAAGATGTAATCATATTAAGGATGCATACAACGACAGGTTTAAGGTCAATAACAATCAATCAAGATCCAGGTCAGTAGAACAAGCTACAAGTCATGCGTGGAGAAATACGAATACTTCACTTCTATATGAAGTTCTTGCTGATGATGTTGTTCAAAATAACAAAGAAAGCTCCACAACTGAAAGATCCAGCTCACAGAACGAAATTCCATCACAAGGATTACACAAACGTAACTACAATCTTCCCCGACAGTCGATGCTTGTTAGTGCAGAAATAGATATAATAAAAGATTGGATCGACCAAATCAAGACATAACTTTGTTGTGTTGATGTGACATGGCAACCTAAACTGACGTACATATACTTCAGTTCTTGTATTGCTTATGATTGAATGGTAACTCAGATATATGTTAATGACGGGATTCTATCACTTGGTTAGTATTATTGATCCTCATTAAAATAACTACGACCAAATTAATGATGAATAGCAATTCAACTGGGATTTGGAATATAACTGCAATAGCATAGCAACATATCAGTTACACTGAGACGCTTATACTTCTTTATGTGTCCTAAAAGCTGACAGTATGAACTGTGTATTTTACTTTCGTAGGTCACTTCTATCCGCTAACGAATCGTACTAGATCAGAACTATTTCCGTGGCTTTATAATCTTACTTGCAATAATTTACTTTAGAACAACAACAGGAAGTTTGTAACAAATAGAGCGGTGGAGAAAAAAAATAATGCCAACAGTAGTGCACAAATAAAAATGAAAAACAAGCGAGACCGGAGTATAAGCAGTATGTATAATGTAATAACTAATAACCAGGAGAAAATAAAGACTTAATTTGGACTGAAGCGATGTTTGATTACCTAAATCATACTACATATACTTTATATATCCAAGACTATGGTCTATAAATGTCCACAAATGACTTATTATAAACCTTTTTAACTTTGCGGACCTAATTCGGGCAGCCCTTTTCCTGGGTCGGTTGTAGCAAAGAGGGTTATAATGTCGACGTGACTTTCTTTTCAGTCAGTCAGTTAGTTGCAATGTACGTACGTACATCACTTCAATTTGCCATACTCCATCAGCACAGAGATTAAGTTCTCAGTCAATCTAACTGTTAAAACTGGACCACCATCCTTAAGAATCTAAAGCGTTAACCTACCAGAACCTGCTGCTTTTCCTAGCTTAAGATTTCCTGTAGCTTTTTCAACTTTCTTCACTTTCTTCCGAGATAGTCTCACCAACAGTCAGATTCCTTATACCAGTTCCCTTGATAATTCTGAATAGTTGTGTACTGTTACGTATTGACGCTGTCTTTTCCATCTCCCTTGCTTTCGCTGCCCACTACTGCTCATGATCATTACGTAAGCTTTTTATCTGCCTGCACCTAATCTGACTACGCTCATCATCATGTTCAGGGACAAGAGGGACGAGTCCCCCTTCATCTTTCATTTTTCTTCTGAATATCATCAGAACAGTCTTCAGTGAGAAGTGTACTGTTTGGTAGAGGCCACTGGTATTATTAGTGGGGTCTCCAGATACACGAAGGGTAGATTGCAGCCGTTCACTTTACAAACAAGGTGAGGTCGAATGAGTAACTATACTCGTATGATGTATGCGCATTTCAAATATGGAAAATAGTAAAGAATCAGGTATAGTACAAGTAAACAAAGTTTAGAAACTAAGGCAAACTTCGAGGGAAAACCGTCTTGTAAATCTGGTAGGAATAAAGGCAAATATAAGACATATATTCCACTTTTTTCGGAATCCGGGGTATATGGTGAGACTATCCTCCTAAATTTTCCTTTCTAGAGGACACTTTTCGAAATTAACACCAGCCACCCTGTAAAAGTTCATTTCTATCACGAATTCCCACAAAATTGTCTACTGTCGTTTAAACGATAATTTAAAGTGATAACTAGAAGAAAAATCTAAGAATTTGTAAAAAAACAATAGCGGAATGCCAGACCGAGTATGAACGCAACGGGGTAAACTATATGAAACTGCTACTCCGAAATACCTCTAATATAATTTAAAATGAGGTTAAAGACAAAGAATAAGCCTACAGAGGGTCACAACTTTAACGTACGGTAAGTTTGCGTTTAGCTTAAATGTACCTTGTGGGCATAGGGAGTGTGAGGTGCAGTTTTAGGTTATCTGGAAGGGAAATCTTGAGCGAAAGATTCAATAAGCACAAGTAATGTACTTACATTAAGTCAAGAAAGTAACCGACAACAATCAGTCATTAAAATAAACTGATAATCATAACTAGGTGGTAGCGTACGCTTCAAATGCACCACAGTTTTCAGCTGAAAATAGCGCCAATATCCAATATTTTCTTCCAACATATTTTTCACGAGCTAGTATAAATCACTAGATTTTTTTGCTCTCGGTTCTTGTTCTTGCGGTACGGGTATTTGGTAGTGTCTAACAGATTTGTGAGTATGTATGTGATTTTGTGTTTATCAAGTCTCTTCTAAAGCTATCCACTGAGGAGTTTTGGTCACCTCCGCTGGGAGAGCGTTAAAAGTTGCAACGAACCTTAATTAGAAAAACTGTACACAAACCTGAGTATTCGCTCTATGATGTGTAAGTTGGCAAGGATTGCCTCCAGGGGAGCGGTGGTGATGCTTCGGTAAGATGCTGGTTTGGCGTGCTTAATATGTTGTACGCCATAATCACGTCACCTCTGATTCTCCTGTAACTCAGTGGGAATAATCCCAAGCACTGAAGTCTATCTTCGTAAGGTTTGATCTTCCACCTTATCACCCATTTCGTTGCTCGTCTCTGCACTCGATCCTAGAGATTTATGTCTATTTAAGGCAGAGGGGTTGCGACGCCGTTGTGAACCTCAAGGTGTAGGCATGCTTTTGTCATAAACAACATTAGGAATAATTATGGGATGATAGCGTAGAGTTGTCTTCGCATAAAGTGAAGAGCTGCATTTGCCTTAAGTACGTCCACCATATAGTTCAGGCTTCTGTGGAGGCTTTCAGTGGCTTTTAAACCGAGATCGCGCTCTGAGGAGACATTAAGGAGCGGACTTCCATTCATGGTGTAAATTGTTTGCGTCATGCGATTCCTGCTCTTTCGATATGGTTTCAGATTTGTAGTTGTATTAGATGATTCTTACGATCATTCTTTAATACATAATTCAACTGAAACCCGCTGATTTAAAATCTGCCTTACAGCATTGACCAGTTAATTGTTGACTGCTGTGTTACTGATTCAAAACTATTCCTTTCTCGTTACGAAAGCCTAGAGTTGAAAAAGCCACCCCAACACATGACTGATTCTGTCCTTTGAATGCATCTAGATAATCGACTTGTTCAATAGTCCGGAGATTGGGTACTATTTATTGGACGAAAGTAAGCAGCATTACAAAGTTCGTTACTCTAGCGAAGTCTACTCCATTTTCAGCGAGTATATTGGACTTTCGGTTTATGTGTCTCGAAATTTACCTTCATATATATTTTATTTGCTTGCAGTTATAGTGAACTCGAAATTTCTTCCTTTTTTGTTGAAAAAATTGATAATTCTCAGGTACTAAACATATATTTACTAACCATCCCTTTTGCTGTTTAGTACACTATTTTCTGTGATTGAAACCTTTTACCCCGTAATTTAGGCTGTACTATTTGAGGTATTTTGTAAATTCGGTATATTTTATTCCTTTTTTAAGTTATGAATGATTAATTTAATGCCTCATTCGAAAATGCTTTGTACGCTTTACACGGGGGTGTAGCCTGGTCTCATAGAATAAATTTTCATTTGTCAGCTACACGTTCACGTCAACTACATGATTCCTGGCCCTTACAAATTATCTAAAGGCATCAGCATATGTCACAACCAAATAACCAATATTTTGTCCGAATGCAGAGCTAACAGATCAAGGAATATTCTGTTAAACCAAATCATGTTCTTCTTTATTGTGCATGGAGCGTTTATGAGTGAACCGCATTAAATCATGCCAAAACAAATTATCTGCTAAATTTAAACGGTTTTAGTTTAAGAAAGGAAACAAACTACATTGAAATTAAAAAATATCTTGAACGGAACAGTCTGAGTAAAACAGTGTACTAAACAGCGAAAAGAAAGGCTCGTAAGTAAGTGCTTGGTATCTTAGAATCAACGAGTTTTCACAACACAATAGGATCTAATCTCGGAAACAGGCATCAGTAACTAGAATAATAAATTAAATACTAACTGAAGTCGAATGGGAGAAATAAAAATGTTTGCAAGAGATGCGAGCAAAAATTAAGTACAAAATATTGTCAAATAGCAAAGGAAATAAAACTCTCCCTGCTTAAACATTGTGGAAGGATTTTCAGTGTGCTTTCTGTTACATTATAAATAATGGGTTCCGTATGCAGTCAGAAAATCAGCGTTAGTGTATGTCTCTCAATGTTACTCTCAGATGTTGAACCAGTCGTTGTTCATAAAAATAACATGAACTTACCACAGCCGTCACGTGAATAGAGATTGTTTTCATAACAGTTCATATTTTTGGCTTAGAATAGTGGAATCTTGCAACTTTTGTGGGCTTTCTGTTCCACCACTGCATAAAGTACTACCCTAATCAAAGACAGAAGAGGATCACAAATAGGATCGCACAACACAGTATGTTGGACCCTCCTTCATTCGTCACATACGTCAACAACATTTATAACTAGTTTCACCGAGGGAAGACGTTCCTTTGTACCGATTACCTTAATGTAGTCTTCTCACGTCACAGAGAAAAAGTACACAACGTCACTGATTCCCCAAAACAAGAATTAGACGAGGAGATATTATTGTGCAGAAAATACCAACTTCAGTTTTTTATATTGTGAAGTGCACCGGAATCGGATGCAGCAACCTGGAATTTCATTTTGAAGCTAATATTAAATAGACATCCTGTTGCGATACTAATTTAGGCCTTGATGTAAGATATTTGTATGATTTAATCTCTTCAAAACACAAACCCTCAACCACCTCGAATTCTAGTAAGACTATGGGGTACACATTTTCCGAATTCTACGAGCATGAGTCTAAGCTAGTACTTCGATGTTTTCCTTTTATAGGCAGTAGCCTTCATACCAGCGACCAGTTGAAAACAGAAATAGTACACATATATTTCGTAAAAATGACTTAAGGAATGGAATGAAACCTGAGTTTTTTTAAGACGTAGCAAAATATGGCTGGAACCGCTCTTAAATGTTAAGCCTAACCTTCAATTTTAATTCAAGTCGCAAAACGTATCATTACACTACTTAGATCCAGTACTAGACTTCAGCAGTATGCTGAATTATAAATAAAGGAACTGCATTGGGTTAGTCAAAATGCAGCACTGGGGGGTCTAACATTTATCAAAACTCCTTTCTAAGTAAGTTCTTTGTTATCTGAAATGGGTTACCAATTAGAATACGGGGAATGGACAACACGAATAGCTTTAATTACAGGTTGAGTAAGCACTTGAAATGATTTCAGAACACAAAATGAACTATTAGTGCATTTGGCTTCTGAGACATCTCATGTGTAAGGTGGCTTCGCGAAGCTCTCTAGTATATTCACACAAGGCCATTGATTTCATGCTTAAGAAGTACATTTTAAGATTCGATTTACACTTTATTCCGTAAGCTTTCTAACTAAGTATGATACCTAAGTTTGATTATTAGTTTAATTAAGTCTGAAAGACAAGATAAATGTATGAATATATACGGCACAGACCAAAAAAATTGAGAAAATAAATATGTTATTCTGCGGCGTACATTTGCATACTTTTAGCCACTTGTCTGGTCTATTTTGTTTTTCCTCTCATAGATGAACACTTGATATAAATATAGTCAAATCTTAATATACTATTGACCTTACTTCCGGGATTTAATATGCTCCTACATTAATCTTGAATAAATTATAATAAGACAGCAATATAAATATGTATCCTGAGTATGATTATAATGCACTGTATACCTTATTATTGCGAAATATATGCTTTCTACACAAATCCTGTTTAAACCAGCTACATAGAGACCATCATGAATCAATATTGTAATGGATACAAAAGTTCGCCATTTTTAATTCAGCAACAAATGTATGACATTTGCAGCATTTACTGAAATTAGTCTGTCTCTGTAATACAGAGAATAAAAGGTGATTTACAATTTGTCTTACCATAAATATTCCTGTTATCTTGCTTCCTTAGCAAATCTTTCATTAAGATGCATCATTTTAGCTAAGTAATTTAGTTAACTAAGGAATATGCCTCACGTCAGGGAAAAATTTGATCACACTTGTATATTCGTTTTCCCATAATTTTTGGTCATTGAGAATAAACTCTGATTGTCACTATCGATGTGATCTAAATTTATTTGTTATATTCACCACAGTATAATGCTATGTATTTCATTGTGGCTGGTTATGACAATCTAGTGTACTAACCCATGATCATAATAAAACGGATTCCATTTTAAAATCACCCATAGGTCAATCTAATTTCTGAAACCAATACTTAACTAATGCATATTCAGGTTTGTCGGTCATAGTAAAGTAAAAAAAGGCATGTTTGCATTCTCTTGTTATAACAGTGACTTTCATTATAATTACTCATTGACATTAGGAATTATTATCACTTTATTCATACTATGAAGATAGTCATTAAGATCTTAACAGCTGCAGAATCCTTTTTGAATGTTTTGTTTTTTGGAAAATCCCTCCATGTTTACATATTTTTGTTATGACATGACGGACTCTTTCTGTTGACATTTTTGGTATTTTATTTGATTCCAATTTGAGATTTTATCATTGTATATTGTTATTATTTCTATATTTTGTACTTATATTGAAGTTTTTATGTTTGCTTCTGAACTGTATATATGTTGTTTAAATTTGATCTTTAATATGGCTACAGCCATATTTGGATTGATACGGTGGCGGTTGGACTTAACGTCACTTATTCACCTTGTCTTGGATACTCTTCGGAGTAATTGTGACCTGGAAGGTGCATCAATTCCAGGTAATGCTTTGTATTTCCATCTTTTAATATAATATAGACCGTTTTCTCCTAGAATTGTTGTGTTTTTTGGACATTGGACTGGGAGATACGCGTTCGGATTGCACTTATTGGAAACCATTTGAACTGCTACGGTAGAAAATCCATTTATAGTCTGGAATTGTGGCTCGACTTTTGATTAGAAGACCAATTACAGTCGGATTATTAAGAAGAATAAAGAAACATTTGGAAATTTAATCGTTTATAACACTAACCTTCTTGAAAGAAGAATCTTGGATTACTTATCGTATTTTTGTATTCGAACTGTA